CTACATTACGAATACACGGAACGAGTTCTATCGTTAAACCGGGTCCGTAGGACTATGTCATTTTAATGATAGAACATTCTATCTAGGGCGAAGATTGCAAATAAATTGAGGTAAACTACTATTTTTGATGGCATATGACAATCAATATTGCAATATTGGTTTGTAGTGTTGTACTGATAATCGGAAAACATCGATTGTCTACGAAAAAATGCTACCGATTCAGATGATCGATTATAATTTTTCATAACCGATCATCGGAAACATACTTCTAATAGAGTACATTCCAGAATTATCTATTTCCAGTTTAAAATTTATTTCTTCTTAATGAAAGAAAATTGGCGTGTGCTTCTGATACTTGCTAACTAGCACGAAGCAAAGGTGCTTAGAAACCGCGAGTAAGTTTAAGTGTAGCGTCATAAAATTTATAACTTGCTCGCCCACGTGGCGAATTAAAAATCTGCAGGACCATTCCAGTCCCTTTACTGAAAACAGACGCTTTCCCCATGTTTTTTGCTTTAAAACTTCCAATCAATTAAATAGATAAAAGTAACATGGTCCTATTGTTCGTAAATACCCTTCATCTAATCCATTTACTAGTACTACATGATTTGCGAAATCTTAAAAATGATCGTCTTTTTTTTTTCTAATCCGAATTTCCTCCATTCCTCTGTGTATCGGTTATACGTGGTAGATATTCAATTAAATTATTTCCAACTACTCAGTCTTATGAAATGAAAATGTTATTAGGCTTCTACTTATTCCAGATAAGTTTAAAAAATATTTAAACTAAGGCCAGATAAAATTAATCTTTAGATTCTCATCCCCGCCCGCCCCTCTCAAAATGTCCCGCCCCGGGGTTTTTTATTTTGATTTTTGGGTGTTATTAAAGGCATTTTCATGTATTTTTATTCAGTAAGAATTTGGGTGAAGTTTAAGAGTTATCTCCCGTCTGTATTCAAAGTCGCGTGTCGCTATTTATAGCAAAAGAGCCTTGTGAAGAATGGAGAAAAATCGGCAATAAAATCAGTTTAAATATATAAGGAAAAGATTATTTGTCAGTATAGAGAAGGCAGAGAAAAAATAATAGCATAAACACATCTAGATACCATCACTGGCATTCATGAGCACGTTTTTAAAGATTTTGGAAAATGACACCTGGTCAAGTTTAAACGATCTCCAACTGTGTGTGATTTTGATTTGAAAAAAAATAAAACATCGTAGGCAGGCTTTAGAGAATGTTTAGTGCTAAGAAAATGTTAAATATCAAACCTGTTGAGACGTCATGCATACAAAATTTATTGATATCAGAACCACACCTCATTTTGTTTTGTGTGTGCCGTACGTATATGTGTACTTGATAATTTGTTAATTAACAATAAATATCTAATAATTTAAGCAAGAATTTTCTTTAAGATATTTAAAAGAATATGAAAAAAATAAAATCTATTCATATTGGCATTAACATAATGAAAAAATGTGTACGAAGAGTCCATGTTTTGTTGATACTTACAATTTAACAATTATAAAAAATAAAAAATAAAATCCGCCCACCCGCCCTAATTTTTTTGCAAATTAGGATGAGAATCTAAAGATTAATTTTACCTGGCCTAAAAAAAAATCTTATTCATGTGATGGTGTCATCCGTTAGCTACTATAATATATACCGTATAATCCCTATTAACCGCCCTGGGCGCTTAGAAAATTGTGAAAAGGGGGCGGTAATTTTTGTATTCTCTTTATGATATTTAATGTCATATTTTAACTTAAAAAATCTTTAGAAAAAAAATAAATACAAAGAACCACTAAAGTAATTTATAGCTTTTCTTAAAGTGAGGATAATCCACCCAAATTATGCTAAATTATTCATTTTCCACTGAGAAATTGGATAATAGACAAGTTTTATTTTCACTTTATCCAATTTTTTGATACGATTCTAGTTGATTTTAATAATTGTACAGGGGGCCCTTATTTCCTGACAATTAAAAAATACATAAGGGGGCGCTTATAGGGGCAGGGGCGGTTAATAGGGATTATACGGTAGTCCAATGACCAGGAAAAGGTGATTAAGTATATAATCTTGCAAAAAAGGATAGTAAAATTGTTAATTAAATTCAATTTCATTTCCTTTGATGAAATATTTATGCAAAATTTATTTCACAAAGTAATTTTAACTTCAATTTTCATTTTAAACAAATGCACAAGTGTATTTTATATTAAATTATATCTAGACTTTAATTGACCAAGTGATGTATTCAAAGGGTTCAAAATTCACAGAGATTGTGCCTTAACAGATTTAGCTGTAGGCTCCTAAATTAAAAACTTTAGGAGCCCATGTGGCTAGTGGAAATTTTAGTTAAGTTAAAACCATGCATTCATGTAGAAAGTGTGAAATAAGCAAAACAACAAAGAAAACAATAAATTACATACATGTATTTTATATATTCATGTTCAGGAAATAATATTAAATAAATGCAACAGTCTGCATTTTATATACCAAACTATGACATCCGATTATAATCGGGAAAAATCTCATCGGAAGCAGTAACCGATTCCAACTGATGATCAATTGTGAAAATTAACCGATGTCCGATCATTATTGGTTTGTCCTCGACTTAACTTGAAATGAATAACTGATGTGTTGTGAGCTAAGCAATTGATCCTAACCTTTTTTCATCTTCTGTTTTGATAAACAAAAGTATGAACCATTCACAATTTGATTTATATATCACAAATAACAAATCAAATGTGTAATATATCACAGTATGTTACCCCTAGAAGTTATCAGTGTTGGTTACATAGAATAAGAGTAAGAGTGAAACGATCTGCCTTCTTCAAGTTTTGATGTATAATTTTGTCTCAGTACAGTTATTTTTGAGTCATACATTTTGATGTAAGAAAACAAATCCATCATTGTTTTTTAATAAAAGTTACTTAATGTAAAAAGACTTGTAAAAATTTAATCTGGTGATGATCAAACCTAATCATACTATTTGAAGTATTCTAATTAACTTCATTTCTAAAAAGTTTCTTCTTTTTTTCTAAGGTGACGTGTCACAATGACTCTTGCAGCGGAAGACTGCATGTGCCCAATATGCATGTGTATATTGGTGGAGCCCGTCACGATGCCGTGCAAGCACACCCTGTGTTACCCCTGCTTCAAGCAGAATGTGGAGGAAGCTAGCCTGGCATGTCCCATGTGTCGAGTCCGAATCGCCGTGTGGGCCAGAAGGGGAGCTAAAAATGGCACCTTGGTGAACAAAAAGCTGTGGAATCAAATTCAGCAGCTCTTTCCGGAGAAAGTGGAAAAACGACAGAAAGGGCTGGATGACAGCATTGATGAGCCTGGTTAGAATTTTAGTAGAGTTGTCATCGGTTAATTTTTTAAAAAAAATTGTTAAAGACTTAAATTGGACTTTAAACAGAGTTTACAACAGTTACAAAAACAAAAATTTAAGGCATAAATTGATCCTTTTTAATTAAAAAAAAAGTTTGTTTTCGAATTTATCTATCTATATTTTTTTTTCAGTGTTCCAACCTCTGATCAGTATTGCTGAGCCGGGGGAAATACGGAAAGAATATGAAGAACAGATGAAAAGGGTTTGATTATATTTAAATTCTTTATTCAATAATGAACATACCCGTAAGAAAAGTAAACATTTTACCATGCTTTTCATACAACATGTCTATTTATTAGGTGACATGTCAAAATACATGACAAACCCTATCACTTGTATATGTTACCTGTTTGAAATTTAAAATTTTTTACAGTCTAATCAAAAAAAGTATATAATATAATTATCTTGGAGTTTAATAAATCAATTTAATGATTTTTCGATAAAAAAATACAGTCAACAAAGCTTCAGATTTGGCAGCTGTCACACACATGTAATTATTTGAGCCAGAGGAGTATACAGTGGACCTTCAGATATCCGGATCCCAGATATCCGGATGCTTCAGTAACCGGACGATTTTTCATCGGGACGGAATTTTTAAATGTTATATTGTTTTGTTTAACTGGTGATTCAGGTATCCGGACGCTTCAGATATCTGTACAGATTGACTAGGAACCAAAGCGTCTGGATAAATGAGGCTCCACTGTACATTGTACTTTTTTTCTGATCAGTATCAACAACAAAGGATATGCGTTGCAAACATTAGCAATAGAAAAATCATTGAAATTTATATACAGTGAAGCTTGTTTTTAACGAAGTGCAAGGGACATACACTTTTGCCTCATTTATTTAAGCATAATTCATTTATTTAATAAGTTTCCAATATATAGCTTGAAGTCATGAGGAATGAAAATCACTTCATTATAAGTATAAGCATCAATTTGTTGTAAACATGTTAGCTATAAACACGCATCTTAAAAGGATTATATTGATAAGCATATCATATGCTATGACAGATCAGTCAATTAATCCTTCATTTTATTTTTCAGCTGGAGGCCCAGAGGGAGGAAGAGAGGAAAAAAGAACAAGAGGCAAGCGAGGCCCTGATTAGGCAGCTGGAGGAAGAGGAAGCCAGGAGGAGGGAACTAGAAACCAGGGACAGGGAACTAGCTAAGGAGATCAGTGAAGAGGTCAACCAGGTCAGGATTTTATCCAAAGAAAATGATAAATCTTAAACTGAATCCTAATTGAAGTTCACAATATATTCTAATTATGCTTTTAAAGACGTACAACACACTGGGGGAGATAACTCTAGGGATTTCAATTGAACGTTTGACGTGACGTCAAATTTAACGTCAAAAATACAGCATCAAAATGACGAGTAAAACGATCCCGATGTATATCAATCATAAAAGAAAAATGGTATGTGGGACTTGGCTGTGATTATGCGTACCATACGCAATCAATAAGTATTTTTTAATTAACCCGATTAAACTCCGTAAAAAGCAAGACATGAAATACCATCCCGTAATGTTTATTTCATTTCATTTCGTATATAATAAATTGTATTCTTGATCAAAGCGCAGCATTTTTTTTATTCGGAAAATTTTATTTTACATTGCCGAAATTCTCATTATGTACAATTGTCTATATAACATTCCGATTAATGGTCCTCATTACAATTTGTGCATTTACGATATAAATATAATTGTTTTTCTTCTTTAATTAAATAAAACAACAATAAACAAACAAAAACTTTTTACAATGTAAAATCAATGTTGTTCTCAGATCCTTACTGATCAAAGAGGAACAACTCTGAAAATGTAGGAGATGTTTATTTTCCTCCCTTTATTCACGGTTTCCACAGAATCAGATACATTTAGAGCAAGACCTTATAAATCCGAGAATTGAATACTGTAGACAGGGCTCTCGATTCTCTAAATCTGGGGCCGATTATATCGGCCCCGTTCCCAATGCAAAAAAGGTACCTTTTTTCCCAAAAGAAAGGTGTAAATTTCCCACATAGTGATACTGTCTCGTTTAAAATAATGACATGAAAGAAACTACAATTATTCCATTTATATCACAGGCCGGGAGACTTGAACACACTCCATTTTTTAAAATAAATAATATTAAAGAAATAAAATTAAAAATCAACATATTCAAGTTCAACATAACTTGACTTCGTATCCAGGTTTCTTGTGATATGGAATGCATAACACATACATATATGGACTAAACACTAAAATCCTTCAGTAATTTTTTCCTGATACATATAAAAACATTAGTCAATATTTATTCTGCATTCATGAATTTAAAAACTAATACATACCTCCGGGATTCAAATGACGAAATACTAGTATATTTGCACTGTAAACGACGTTTTGTCAAACGCTATAATGGTCTGCGACGCAAAAAAGGAAGGGGTGGGGGTGGTAGGGGTATTAAAAATTGCCTAAAAGTCTACATTTAAATATGCTTTACAGATGAGAACTTTTAAATTTGTAAGTTAATATATTTTTGAAGCAAAAGCAATATTCCAATTAGATTTTATTTAAATGTGTATTTGTAGATTCATAGCAAAGTGATCGACCCCCGTCTGAAAGACGCGCGGGAACCTGATTTATTGAGAAAGGGGGAGGGGGTTGTTTTCCGCTATTAAATCAAAACTGTTCGTACAAAAATTATACAAAAAAATATAAACATTATTTTTACTACCAGCTACCTAAAGAAAGTTTTTTACCAAAATTAAACGACAGGTTTTTTCATTAAAAAATGTTGAATTTGAAAAATACACAATTTTCAAGGCTTAGATAATTCATAGTTTTTCAGTTTAAGGTCTGTAAAAATTGTTTTGATAATATGTATATCAAAAAGATGACTATGCTTTTGTGTTAAATGGTTAAAGGAATAAGTCAATGAAATTTGACATTTATATCTAACCTGGATTTTTTGAAAATCAAGGTTTAAGTAGTTCATTGATTAAAAATTTTCTCTCCTTGTAAACAACTAAAGAGGGGTAACTTTTGGAAGTTCCTGTCCAAAAACCACTCGAACGATTTTGTCCAAAATGTGCATACATGCAGTAGATATAGTCATGTACTAAATATACAAAAATAACGAAAATTAAACAACAGGATTTTTTTCAGGTAGGTGTGTTGTACATCCTTAAGTTTTACTTTCTTATAGATTTCCTTATGATTAAAGGTTATGCTTATTTTTACATTTTTTTTTTTTTTCGAAATTTTCTTTTTTTTTGCAAACTTTAAATATAAAGTTGACTTTTTTCATAATCATGATAATGTTACATTTAGAACATAAACAATTTAAAAATATTTTTTGTTGATTAAAATTTGTCAGATTAAAGGTTTGCTAAACTAAATACAATATTTGCGTGAAGTTCATGTTTTGATGGAGAATATTTTATTTTCAGAGTATCAATGGTGATGATTCTGTTTTGCTGGCTGGAGATGATGCGGCACATCGCCAGACTCGCAGTACGTCCAGTACATCCTCCTGTAGTGCCTCTAGTAGCAGACCCCCATCAACCATTGATTCCCTGCTCCGAAAAATGAGAGAAGCAGAAAAGCTGAAAGCAGCAGACGCGGCCAGCAGAAAGGCATCTTCGCCGTACCCTTACAAGTGTTATAGTCCTACAGAGAAGGCTTCTAAACAGAAGAAAGGGAAGGAACATAGTGGTGCCTCCCCATTTCTTTATAAATGTAATGATTCCACAGAGAAGTCGACCCAGGGGAGAGACATGGTTTCTAGGAACTTGTCGTCTGCTGGACTTTCCTCAAGAAGCTGCACCAGCACCAGTGAAATGGAAAATGCTGAGGATGATGATGACGATGAAGATCTTCCATCAAAATATGTCTCTCTTGGTCTTCCATCACTGGAGACTGCCATAGAAAATATAAGTGATCGCTCTGATGGGGAAATATTTGACAAAGACTCTGTTGAGGTGATAGAGAGATGTCAGAGTTCTGAGAGTACGGACAGCATTAGTCAGGAGATCAGTCACTTTCGACCAATCAGAGTTTGTCCTCTCACCCCGCCTCGTAAACTTCCCAGCGGAAAGGTTGTCGAGGCACCACTTATCCGTACCACGCCAAGAAACTTGAGTAAAACGGACTTCGGATCTCCAGTCCGGACTCTTTCTGATTTGGATGCTTCCAGTCCAATCATGCAGAGAAGATTATCTGAGTTGGAGGAAGAGCGGAAGACCATTGTCAATAAGTTGTCCAAGTCTACAAGCACAGAGACTAAAAAAGACACCAAGAAATCCAAGGTGGTGACCTTGACGCGTGATCATGATTATAGTGGGACTGACAAAGCTAGCGGTGATCATGATTACTCAGCCATGGTGATTAATCTGGAGGCAGACAATCCGGAAGATTCTTCTCTGAATGAGAGCAAGGAAGATTCCAGAAGTGTGGAAGAGAAATCCAATACAAACAAATACAAACTGAAAAAGCTTGTCATTCCATTGGAACCCACATTTAACGATGATGACTTTGACATTCCACCCATGAAGGAAAACAATCCGCAAAGAATAAATAGTGAGACAACCACAGTAGCGGGAAAGCAATCACCAATTCTAACAAAAAGTAAAAGTGAACAGGACACTAGTGTGCGACAGAAAAAGGTGCAGAAATTATCTGGGAAGGCAAGAGTGGCATTAAAAAGCCCTCAGCGGACTATCACAGACTGGATTAAACAATCCGCGGAGTGTAGCGGACAGAACAATTATCACTTGGAGCCCAGTGGTAGGGACGATGTGGATGGGGAACCAGTTCGTAAAGTTACGCAAGGACAATCAGACAGTGTGACAGCATTAGGGGATGGTCCACGAAGAAAGGCGAAACAAAACAAAAAGGTCAAGACATATCCAAAACGTGAGAGAAAACCGTACAACCCAGACCCCATGTGGACGTTTGTGAGTGCAGTGCACAAGAGACAACACTTGGACTTGGATGAAAGTTCAAAGGACAGTAGTGTTTGTAGTGGTTTGTTGGATGAACAGAATGTAGAGACAAGAGATGCCCCTAAACCGCATTCAAAGAAAAGGACAGCTACATCCGTTAACAATGAAAAACCTAAGAAAAGAAGGAAAGTGACAGAGAAGTAGATCCAAACTGAAGCAGACGACATCTAAAGCCAAACTTAAGTCAGTCCAGCATTCGCAGGCCAAAAATCCTATCCTTAACTTCTGCTCGCAGTCAAACTTAAAACGGGTGAAGGACGCCATTAAAAATAACCAGTTATTGGATGAAGAGGCCGATTTCAGAGTCAGTGGTGGGGAGAGATTGGACAGGGAAACACAGGAAATGATGGACAGAAAACTAGCTGAAGAACTCGCTAAGCAGTACGAGATGGAGGTGAAAACTGGTTTTCAGTTTTTCAAGCTGAAGGGGACCTCAGAGGAATACAACTTCCGACGGAAACCGAAGCTCTCCATCTGATCATTTCACCCTGAAAAAGATGAACTGTGCAATTACACAGCCTGATTTATTTGTCTGTTATGAGGGCCATATCAGGTCAAAGAAAGAGGCATTCTTTTTTTTTTTTATAAAGATAAACATATTGATCTAAATGATGCATTTTCACTTTGGTTTAATTTTCCATTTATTTAATGTTTTAAGTTGATCAGTGATTGATCATTGAAGTGATTGATAACCATTGAATAATGGGTTGTTTTAATTATGTTCACTCTACAATCTACCAGGTACATAGTTTTCTTGCCCCTCTTTGCCTTTATGCTTTATGTCCCTATTGACAATAAAACATCATCATGTATCTTAGAAAGATGGTCAAGTTATTCTACATTGATATTTTTATTTTTTTCTCATAGGAAATGGTAGTAAAGTAAATCATTAAACTCGAGTAGACATCAAAATTTAGAAGTTTAGTACCTTACATACCTACATTTGTGACAGGTTTCTGGAATTTGTTGACAGAAATGCCTTTATTATCATTGAGATAAGCAAAGCGAAGTATAATTTATAAGACTTTACTTTTATAATAAAAAGGTGTCTGTTTTACTTAATTTGAAAGAAATACCAGAAAATGCTAAATTGGTCTTGAAGAAAAAAAGAAGGCATGAAACCATAGAAATTCGTACTGTAAACCAACTTTTATTCGCGACAACTTTATTTCACGATTTACAAGGGATAAACTAGTTCGCGACAATTAATTTTCGCGATCAAGTCTTTTTGGATCTGTAGTTAATAGACAAATACACTTTAATGACCAGTTCGTGGTGAGAAATATTCGCGATGAAGAGGCTCTCGCGAACTTCACGAAAATTTCTCACACGCGAATAAAAGTTGGTTTACAGTAAATGTATGATAGATGTTAAAGCTAAGGCTTTAAGTTGGAGGAAAGTCTCCCTAAAGCATGTTCATGTCCATATGATGCTTCACAATTTTATGCAAAATGAAAAGTAATGTATTCTACTTATTTTTTTTGTAAATATTATGTGATGTCAAAATATGAAATATATAATGTAGGGCAACAAATTACATGTTTGTATATGATCCTGTATAGCAGGTATAGAGAAATCTGTGTATACTTCAAAAGTAGTCAGTGTTTGTAGGATAAATATTTATATTGAATAAATTCATTATATTTTGGCAAAGTAATAGGATCTAGGATTTTTAAAAGTCCATATTCATTCAAAAGAATTTACTTCATCCATGCTGAAACATGAGGCCTTTTTAAAGAATATTTCAACTATAACCAAAGATTTAATTGAATGTAAAACCATGAAATTTGATATGCAACTGTTGAAAACTAATTTTATAAAAGTATTTACATTTTGGTCCAAGCTGCAAGTTATTTTGTAAAATGGAGACCATATCTTTGATCTTAATTTAATTGTAATTGCTTAAAGCATGAACTGGATATCCAAAACTAGACAACTGGTACACAGTTCCATAAAGCCCGTAGTAATTTCATTACTTAAGTAGTTTCTCTGAAAATGTAGTTTAATGTTGAATGAAAAATCTTTTCTTTTTTTTTTTTTAAACAATTTTTGTTTTATTCTTTATCAGCAATAAATTTGAAATATACTTTCCTTTAGGACTGTATTTTTTTTTCTCTGTGAACTGTAAGTTTTAATTTTTCCAAGTTTTAAAAATATTTTGTGTATGTTTTCCTTTGTCACATATACAGAAAACCAGCAATATCATATGCGATCTGCTTCAATATATTTTCCCTGCTTACGCAAGGTTCCCCCATGATGTATATCTCCTGTTTAATGGCGGCCATTTTTGTGTTCTTGTTACTGAGACTTACTCTGTTGACTTGTAATATACATTGTACAGATGTACTGTTATGCTTATTAAATTGTTGGCAACTTTTTGTAATGATTAAATTAAAAATGATTTTAAAATTCGAGATTCTAGTTTATGTGTATTTTTTTTTTAGGAAAACAAAAGCTGCTGATTGTAAGTGTTTTCATAATGTAGTAGATAGGAACCATGTTACTGTAAATGTATTACATTTGGCTGTGTATTCTTTTTAGGGGCTTTGGCTGAACCCAGCAACCACTTAATCAAGTAGAAAGCTAAATGAGCACAAGACATTGCTAAATATAATACATTTACAGTATATATGGTTTGATGAAGTTGGAGTCCTGACTCTGGAGAAAAACAAACAAGAAAATAATTGGACAGGTCATATTGCACACTCAAGTAATATGTCCAATTCCAGCTCTGAATATTTTTAATGAGATTCTAAAAAAAAATAGCACTGGCTCAGAATACTGCATCTTATTGTTAATGCATACGTCATTACAACTGGAAAAAAATGTGTGTGCAACAATTGCACACTAAACCCCTGCCACATGTTTACTTGACAGGAATATACTGGTACCGTCTAAAACTAGAACTAGCCTTTGCCAAAGGGTACACTTAAAGAAGTTTGGAACTTTAATTTACAAAATACCCATTTTACTTAACTTTTAATTTCCTTACTCATTCTGTCAGGTAAAAGCACTTGCACTGTTGTCCTTCCATACATATGACCCAGACAGGAATTTGACCTTGACCTCATCCAAATGACCTTAGAACAGGGCCAAGATACACAATTAGTCATAACCAAAGTCTATGGCAAAGAAAAGCCTCTTATGACCAATTTCAAATATTGAATATTTCATAAACTATTTCAATAACTATAATAACTGAGTCAAATATTCTAGTGCTAACTCAAATGTATAGTTTTTAAATATAAAAAAAGATCCAAGATTTCTTTTTCTCTTATTTTATTGACAATGTAGATAATATTCATAGTATTAACATGTTATAATAATACCTAAAATATCAAAATCACAAAAACATGATCACGCCAGGGACAAAGACAGGACTCATTCATTTTTAATGCCAAGTTGAACATTTTTTTCGTGTGCTACACTAAATGTACTAGTGTTAAACAATAAACATCTGTATAGCTTTAATAGCCCTGTATTTACAAACTCATACATTTCTATGCATGGTTTAATTGGTACACATGTATACAGTATATACTATGAAACAGTAATATGAAAGAAGGAAAAACAACACATAAATGAGATCCACTCATATTTTTTCAAAGGATTTCATGAAAACAATACTTTTCAACAAACTAAAACACAGTATTAATGACATACATTGTTCATTATGTAGATCAATACCTTAATGTGCAAGTCATTCAGTTTTTTCACTTTTTGGCAACATATTTTTATGAAACACAATAGATAGAAATTCCTTCTTAGGTATCTAAACATGCTAAATGAATGAGAACTTGAGAAAATTATAGAGATCAAATGAAATCACTATTAAAAAGACTTGAAACAGGTACCCAGTGTGTGTGTATAAGAAAATGAAAAAATAGAGATATGTCAGACAAAGACAGGTAGATAAATGTAAATATATATGCGGTATATGTACAGAAAAGTATGGTAGCAAAAGGTTCTACTGGGCTTGAAATACCAAAAGCGTATTCTGGGAATGTTGGGGCATAAGCAATGCAGTCAAAAAATCTTGATATATATATATCCAAAAGTGACTGCAACTCAACAAGATACAAAAAATAAGCTCATTATAAGCAAACCTCTAGGAAAAAAGTCTAAAAAACAGAGTGAGGAATCCTATGGTGTGGTAGAGGATTCATACAAGCTTGTGGCTAGAATAATTTTAGTATATATAAGGCTGCTACAAGTGAACCTTTAGAGAACTTAGAGTGATCTGCCCATTGATATGTAACAGAGTTTAAAGTGGCCAGGTGGTGTATTGTAAATAGTGAGGCCACGCTCCTACTACATTTAGCACTAGCTAATGGGTTAACCCTTTAGCTCAGTCGGTTGAGTGCTGGATTTTAAATCTGAGGGTTGTAGGTTCGAGCCACAGTGTGGACACCCCCTAGCTAATCGATCATAGATATAAAATAAATTAGATAAAGATCATCTCACAGTAAATAACACAATTTGAAATGGATAATTCTTTAACATTATGTACGCCTATGGATAAAGTAGCTGAAAATAAAATTTGCATGTACAATCACAATGTAAGTAAAGAACAGTGATTTCTGTTCACAATAATACTTTACTGTCTTTCATAGGGCTGTATCAATATATCGATACGTATCGATATTCAAGAAAAATATCGTATCGAAAAATAACTTCCAATACGTATTGGACACACCGTTTTTCTTCTAATTCTGTTAAAAAGATGGGAATTCCAATCACTAAAGATTATATTTCACTTTTTTGAAATAAAACTGTTCAATGATTATATAATTTGTAAGGAAATAACACAGTTATTTTAATTATTACAAAATACAAAGAGAATTTTATTTGAACATATTGATTTTGCTGTCATTAAAAGTTTTTAATTTGAAGTGTTATTTGTAATGACAATGAGACAAGAACTTTAAAATGGGTAATAAAATACTTAATTTTTATGAAATTTATGCATTAAAATGATTTATAAACCTTTTCTGATGGATTTGTTTTAGAATCCAATATATCGCATATCGCCTTAAGAAATATTGTATCGTATCGTATCGAAATTTGTGGCTCAATACACAGCCCTAGTCTTTCATGAATATTTTTTTTTCTGCTAAGGCAGATACCTTATGTTGAAAATGAAATAGATCAGTAGGTACACCTTTATGGGATACAGTTTTCTCAAACTAATTAGAAACACGTTATAAGTGTTTAGAACTTCCTTAAAACCCACTTAAAACCTTCACTATAATCTAAAGGGCCCCAAGCTTTTACTGAGAAAAATATGCATTCACTAATAAAATTCTGAAGTATATAAACATGCATATATTATATACAAATTAGGTATAAAAAAACGTGATCTACAAAACAGAGACCTTAATAAATAGATGGGTAGAGACTGTAGAGTTAAAATTTGTATAATATAAAGCAACAATATCTAAGTTTAAACATAGACTTAGTAAACCAGCATTTGTATAAAATAAAAAAAAAAGTACATTGTACTTACATCTCTTAAATTTTCATTCAAAGTTTCTCATATCAGAAAATCAAAAATAGCCTTTGAATTTCCTTGCATCCTTGCATTAAAAAAAGGAAGAAAAAAAACATACAAGTGAATCTTGATAAAAATATATCAGGACTACCATGAATATACCCTGCAATATTTCCTTGTATAAAAAAAATTAATATTTCTGGCATGTGATATCTCTAATGACTAAGTGCCAGCTTAACTCCTGAAAGGATATTGATAAACTTTTATAAAGAAGCAATTTTAATTAAGGCCATATGATACACACTTTTTTCATAAAAGAAATTTTCAAAAGAAATTTCAAATCATAGAAAATCTACAATTTCTGAATGTTTGATAGATTTGTAATATTTATCTTTACAACTAGTATAAGTCTAAATTTACATACCAAACCATGCATTACTTTATTGTTTGTATCATCTGACCTTCAGGTTATAAAAATGTAAAAAAAAAAAAAATCTACTCAAATCTTGAATATCTAAAAAGATGATGCCAGATAAATTTGGGGGTGAGGAGTACTTCATTTGGGGCCTTATCAGGAATAACGGCCTCCTTGTTCGTGAAGATTTCCTTGTCCTTCGCGACTGAATGTCGGCCATAGATTCTCGTGTGATACAATAAAAATTCCATTAGGTACATTTCCTCTGGAGTAACGTAGTGGAAAGACACGGTGAACTCACTGCAACAATCAGGGCCCTGGATATTTAAAGAAAGAAAATCTCTTAGTCATATTTTTTCAGTAAATAAACTTATATAGGGAAACCTTTACCAGTAAGATATTTTTTCACATGAAACCGATTTTTATGTTTCAAAAAAAGGGGAAATGACAATTTTTTTTATTTTACAATAAGCAGTGAGTAATTAATCAGCATACTTTGCCATATAATTTGTTTGTTTTTTTTTTTTAATCTTTCTTACTTAGTAATAAGATTTTCAATACCCTAGAAACATAAAACACTTAATAACCACATACTAAAATTGGCAAAAAAATATTGTCTTGTATTTACCGTGTTATAGGGCCTTGAGACGTAGTAAATCTCCCCTCCTTTATGTCCATAGAAAGCCCTCTGAAAGCCAAATGGATGGAATGCTTGTCGTCCCTGTGTATCAACAGTGGAATAAATTTTTACGCCGAGGTTTCCGAAACACCTCCCGATATCCAAATCCTCGTCCTTCCCTGAGACCTCACATTTCCCGGACACCTGAAAACCTTCCTCGTTAATCATCTCCAGGGCCTTTCTATTTATAGCATATCCCGCACCCCCAGACAAATATCCCTGCTTTGTCAACAGTCTAAACTGGTGCCCCAGATAAACTGGTACATGAGATTCATGCTTGGCCAAAAGAAGGCGCAAGTTTTCCATGATAATAAATACATCATCGTCACATTTGAAAAACCAATCATAATCATTTCTATAAGTTTTGTAAATTGCTATGAGTGTTTTTACAGTTTTGTCTGTAAGGTAGCTTCTTCCCTCCTTAACATCCACCTGCATTGTGTATAAAGTAGAGCTAGGCTCGGGAGTCACAAAAATTAGTTTCGTACATCGGGCTCCCCATGTGTTGTTCACGGCTACCGCCTTTGTCTGCATGTTAGCTGGCACTGTCATGGTGTAGCAGAGAATTCTCAACTTTTTGGCTTTCTCGTCAAGATAGGACTTTTCTCTGTCAAGATCTGGAAGTACAGAAGTGTTCATATCATTTATTATACATATTAGATACTCATAAAAAGTTGAAAGAACTTAAAAAAAAATAGACTAACTTGAAATTTCTAGATTAGTGTACTTTGAATTCATTTAAAGTACCGGTGTCATATAATTTATTGAACCCGGGTTCAAAATATCACTGCGAAATATTGATCCCCCTATAAAATATTGAACCCGGGGTTCAAAATATTATGGCCATAATATATTGAGTCCCCTGCCCTTTTAACTTTACAGGGAGGGGTGGGTTCAAAATATTATGGCCATAAAATATCGAGTCCCCTGCCCTTTTAATTTTACAGAGAGGGGGGTTCAAAATATTACGGCCATAAAATATTGAGTCCCCCTGCCCTTTTAATTCATGAGGGAGGGGGTTCAAAGTATTATGGCCATAAAATATTGAACCCCCCTGTCCTTTTAATTTAAGAGGGAGTGGGGTTCAAAATATTATGGCCATAAAATATTGAACCCCCCTGTCCTTTTAATTTAAAAGGGAGGGGGGTTCAAAATATTATGGCCATAAAATATCTAGTCCCCCTACTCATTTAATTTTACAGGGAAGGGGTTCAAAATATTATGGCCATAAAATATTAAGTCCCCCTACTCATTTAATTTCACAGGGAAGGGGTTCAAAATATTATGGCCATAAAATATTGTTTCCCCCTGTCCTTTTAATTCAAGACGGAGGGGGGTCCAAAATATTATGGCCATAAAATATCGATTCCCATATCCATTTGATATTATGGCCATAAAATATCGAGTCCCCCATCCATTTAATTTTACAGGGTGCGGGGTTCAAAATATTATGGCAATAAAATATCGAGCCCCCTTCCCATTTAATTTTACAGGGAGGGGGGTTCAAAATATTATGGCCATAAAATATTGAGTCCCCCTGCCCTTTTAATTCATGAGGAAAGGGGTTCAAAGTATTATGGCCATAAAATATTGAGTCCCCCTGCCCTCTTGATTTAAGAGGGAGGGGGGTTCAAAATATTATGGCCATAAAATATTGAACCCCCCTGTCCTTTTAATTTAAGAGGGAGTGGGGTTCAAAATATTATGGCCATAAAATACACTAGACAAAATTGCTAACGCACCACTTACTATTTCTTTGTTTGTTTTAAATTTGAACGCAACAAAATCTTATTTGTATATTATTTTAATAGTTTATAATACAAAAAATAAAACATGATTTGATGCAAAGTTATTGAACAGTTGCGCTGAGCACAGTTTATGAAACATTGGTACCCCCAATTATGAGATTCACACTTCAATATCTGGTATGGCCTCCATTTGCTCGGATAACAGCTAGGCATCTTTGCCTCATTGAATTAATGTAATTATGTAAAAATCGTTGTGGCACATTGTTCCACTCATTCAAAATGTCCCTTTGTAGTTCTGCAAGATTTCATTGAGCAGGAAGTCGTCGAATTCGCCTATCCACCTCGTCCCACAAATTCTCAATTGGGTTAAGATCTGGACTACACGGCGGCCATTCTAAAACCCTGATGTTGTTCCTCTGCAGCATTTCTCTTTTCGTCCTTGCAGTATGACACGGAGCATTGTCCTGCATAAAGATCATCCCGCGATTTGCTCGCAAATGTGGTATTAGGCAAGGACGGATGATGAGATCCTGATATCTCTGAGCATTCAAATTTTGATTCACCATTATGGCCTGAGTCTTTGTATGTAAAGAAATCCCCGCCCAGATCATTACAGACCCTCCTCCAAACTGTCCCTTCTCTTTCACACAAGGTGCACTGTACCTTTCGCCTCTCCTGCGATAGACTCTCAATCTTCCATCTGAACGCTGTAAATTGAACCTTGTCTCGTCGGTAAATAAGACATTTGCCCAATCAGCACGAGTAAATCTCAAATGTCGTCTTGCCCACTGCAATCGGATCTGTCGATGTCTTTGAGTCAATACAACACCAACAAATGGCCGTCTTGCCCGCAAACCAACCTCTTTAAGCCGATTTCGCACTGTTTGCGCACTGATGTTGCGTGATGGTTACCAATGATCATCGTTGATGTTGCAACAGCTGTGATGCCTCTGTCTCTCAGGTGAGATAATGCGATGTGTCTGTCTTGTCCCCTAGTAGTTACCCGGCGCTTTGGAATTCTTGCTCGGTCCCCCACACTTCCGGTTTGCACGAATTTCCGGTACAACCTTGCAATTGATGTGTGGTGCCTATTTAACACTGTGGCTACCTAGAAAGATGTTTTTGTCATTTAATAAGCTTGCTGCATCATGTTTTAGACAATATCATCGGCAATCGTTAAATTATTTAGGTTTTAACTTACCTCTCTAAAGGAACACCCTGCAGAGACCATACCAACTGCCCTGCCACGCTCTTCTGTGGTCAAACGCCGCATAACCCGTCGGTTTTTTTTGTGAGTTTTTATGATTGCATGCAACAATAATAAGAACACAAAAAAGAAAGTAACGATTTATTCTTCCAAAAAGCGTGAGCACGATTTTTAAGCATTTCTAAAGACCAGCTACGCTTCAGTTAACATCGCATCCATTTATCCGTTTGGGCATTTAAATGTCTATTTTATAACTAAGGCCACCTATTTAAACATTAAATACATCTAAAACAAGTTTTTAGAGTATAAATTTTAATTTTTTTAGGTGGTGCGTTAGCAATTTTGTCCAGTGTATTGAACCCCCTGTCCTTTTAATTTAAGAGGGAGGTGGGTTCAAAATATTATGGCCATAAAATATTATGTCCCCCTACTCATTTAATTTCACAGGGAAGGGGTTCAAAATATTACGGCCATAAAATATTGTTTCCCCCTGTCCTTTTAATTTAAGAGGGAGGGGGTTCAAAATATTATGGCCATAAAATATCGAGTTCCCTATCCATTTGATATTATGGCCATAAAATATCGAGTCCCCCATCCATTTAATTTTACAGGGTGCAGGGTTCAAAATATTATGGCAATAAAATATCGAGCCCCCTTCCCATTTAATTTTACAGGGAGGGGGGTTCAAAATATTATGGCCATAAAATATTGAGTCCCCTGCCCTTTTAATTTTACAGAGAGGGGGGGTCAAAATATTATGGCCATAAAATATTGAGTCCCCCTGCCCTTTCAATTCATGTAGAAGGCGGTTCAAAATATTATGGCCATAAAATATTGAGTTCCCCTGCCCTCTTGATTTAAGAGGGAGGGGGGTTCAAAATATTATGGCCATAAAATATTGACCCCCCCCCCCCCTGTCCTTTTAATTTAAGAGGGAGTGGGGTTCAAAATATTATGGCCATAAAATATTGAACCCCCCTGTCCTTTTAATTTAAGGGGGAGGAGGGTTCAAAATACTATGGCCATAAAATATCTAGTCACCCTACTCATTTAATTTTACAGGGAAGGGGTTCAAAATATTATGGCCATAAAATATTAAGTCCCCCTACTCATTTAATTTTACAGGGAAGGGGTTCAAAATATTATGGCCATAAAATATTGAACCCCCCTGTCCTTTTAATTTAAGAGGGAGGGGGGTTCAAAATATTATGGCCATAAAATATCGAGTCCCCTATCCATTTCATTTTACAGGGTGGGGGGGTCAAAATATTATGGCAATAAAATATCGAGCCCCCTTCCCATTTAATTTTACAGGGAGGGAGGTTCAAAATATTATGGCCATAAAATATCGAGTCCCCTGCCCTTTTAATTTTACAGGGAGGGGGGTACAAAATATTATGGCCATAAAATATCGAGTACCATGGGAAGTTTTGATGGCTATATGATTGTGAAAACTTGCATCTTAAGAGCTAGTTTCATTTTATGCACAGAATTCCAATTAAAAATTTTTTATTTGAGAATCCAGCTATTTGAAAACAATCTTTATGAAAATGTAATGTTCCTGAATATTGCAGAAAACAGGCTTATTTGACTGCCCACAGCATAGAATCAAAATACAAGCATAGGATAGCCTTTAATCCAAAAATTAAAGCATGTTTCATGATCTTCAGAAACAATTAAATCTTTTGTTTTGTATTTTCATTTAGATTAGAGGTTGTGCTCTATATAAAATTATGAAACAAGAGGCCCATGGGCCACAATACTCACCTTGGTAACATAACCCATGCTTTTCTTCACCAGATTTTCCCCTTTTTAATACCTGTTGTTGACAATCTTAAGCCCAGGTGTCAAGATAATTTGAACAATTTAGAAAATATACTACCCAAGGATGCTTCCACATCCATGTTTCAGCTTTTCTTGCCCAATGGTTCTTGAGAAGTTTTTAAAAAAGATTTTTCCTATATATTGATGTAAAACTTGGATTACCTATTGTGGCCCCGCCCTACCCCCGAAGGGTCATGAACTGAACAATTTAGAATCTACACAATACAAGTTTCAATTTTTCTGGCCCAGTGGTTTTTGAGAAGTAGATTTTTGAATGACCCACCCTATTTTCATCTTTTCTTGATTATCTCCCCTTGCAAGGTGTCTGGGACCTTCATTTTAAAATTTTAAACTTCCATTTACCCAGGATGCTTTGTACCAAGTTTATTTAAAATTGGACCAGTGGTTTTTGAGAAGAAGTTGAAAATGTGAAAAGTTTACAGACAGACTATTAGATAGACAGACGACCGACAACAGATGATCAGAAAAGCTCAGGTGAGCTAAAAATGATTCAACTTTTGGCCAGAAACTGCCCTAGGTGGCCCTTGCTCTTTGATTGCATGGGGTCTTTATGTACACTTATTTGCTATAAATGTACTTACATATTTTATCTTTCTGCTTTACATTAAGGAAAAATCTCTTCACAATTTCCAAATATTCTGAAAAAAAAGAACATGATCGTTAGCAAAATACACAAGAAATCCTCAAAATGTGAAGGAAATCATCACTGTTTATGCATGTACAAACATTTTAAAATAAAACTCAAAGACTTAAATAACTGTATCTACATTGTAATTATATCTTGACCACTACTCTCATTAAGTTATGAGGTGTTAAAAATCAATAACTTCACCTTACATAACCTTCATACATGTATATTGTAAAATTTCATTTGAATTCATGTGAATTTGAAAAAGTGGTTATCTTAGTGCTAAAAATCCTAAGCTTATCCGTATAAAAATGAAATTTAGACTTTTTATGACCTTTGTAAACCAAGTGCAATCAAAGTTAACAGTAACAGTGTAAAGGTTTCAAAACTGCTTGTTTGACATGATGTTAGCTTTACATTGTAACCACTGGACTTTTTTGATCAGAAAAATTCATATAAGTCTTAAATTTGGCCTAGGTGATCTAAAAGTCATTACTTTTGCCATGATTTCTGAAATCTTCACATTATAAAACAACATACATTTATCTTGAGTTGTCCAGTGCTACCAATTAAGTGAATATATGGAAAGAGGAACACATTATCTTCATGGTAGAATAACACATGCTGCTATATAGAGACAGAATTCTACTGTGGAGAGAGTGAAGTCACACAAAGAGGTACAGTGGCTGGAACATTATTGTTGACAACTTACACGAACGATCACGTTACACGCACGATTCCGCATGATTAACGCACGATTAAACCTGATACACGAACGATCCTTCACGTTCACGATTCTACACGTTACTCGATCTTAAACGATTGCTAACGCAAACGCACGATTCTTCACGCAAATTAGTTCAAATTATTTAGGAATCGATATTTCGAAAACGAAATTCGGCTTTATATTGATTTTAGATTCAAAGAATTATCAATAAATATATTATATCATCGACTTTGAAAAAAAAAAAACGGAAATGAGTATTTCTGGTACTAAATACATGTAAGATTTTTTTTTTTATTATTTTAGATAATATTTAAATAATTATTTAGATAATTCTCCGACATAAGAAAACAGTTTTTTGTTCTATCAGAAGAAAGTAGTATGTGGACCGTAAAATTTGATTGAATTGGATTTCATAATATGTAGAAGGGGGGCTACGATTGGGAAAAAAATGGCAGCATGGAATGGGTTAACTTAAAAGTTATATCTACAGTGTATATGTTTTCATTACTTCAAAATGTTTATGAATCTCTAAAACATGAAAAACGACATTGCAAATTATTGTTTTACTTTAAAAATTGATTAAAAGTAAGCTACAGAGATAAACACTGTTAAACAAAACCCCGAAATCATGTGCGTGATGTGCATGTACATTCGCCGACTAAACATTTATGTAAGCTTTGAAAATATTTATTTATTTGTAAAAACATTTCTTTTTGATTACTTGAAAATTTAAAATAAAATATCTTACCACAATTAGCAGCAAACAAGAATGATCTCCAGAAAATATAGTAAAACTCTTAGTACGGTTTATCACGATAAGTCACGCTATTTGACGAGAACATAATTTTGTACGACTTACTATATTGCTTGTTTACAAGCGTAGGTTAGTTCGTTCTGCACTTCATTCTTTTTATTTGGATTAGAAAATAAAATATAAACGAAATACTTGTTTTACAGATAACATTCCGATAAAAACATACAAAACGAAATTTACACATTTCTAAACGCACGTTCACGCATGATTAGAACCGCAAACGATTGAGTCTGTTACACGCACTATCTCGCACGTTACATGAACGATCGCGCACGATGCACGAACGATTCTACACGATTGGTTTGTCAACAATAACGTTCCAGCCACTGTATATAGAGCACTCATATTGGAGCTTACACTGTATAATGAGTTCTATAAACTGAAGTACAGTCAGATTTGGTTATACTGAACAGGGATTTACCAAAAACCTGTGTATATTGCAGTCAGCATAAACATGGACATTATTTTTAATAACTACAATTCTCTATAAAATAGAGGGTTATATCACTCAAGATGCCATTTCAAAAATAAATCTGGACCATAAAAGATAATGTAATCAGGGGTGACAAAATTACTCCAATCATAGACTGAATGGGAAGAAGTGGGTGGTTTACCCACATATGGCTAATTGCAAACCTGAAAGTCTTAAGTACATGTAGCAATTCTCTATATCAGCTATATCAGCAATCAGCCTTCAAAAGATACATCTATACAACTTTACTATGAGGATTTTTTAGTGTTACAGTAGTGTATTGCTGTAATTAATCAACAGAAATATTTACAACTGTGTTAGTTTTTTGTGTGAAATTACAACTAAGAATCCATAAAGAGGCTGTTATTGAGTAAATCATTGAGATTTTAAATACAACAACATGATGCCTAGTGGTATTATTTAGGGAGATAAGCATTACCATGTGAATGAGATACAAAAGCTGAAACATATGAAAAAATAATTAAACTTCAACTCAAAGAAAAAAAAAACACAACACAATAGACATTTAAATATTCAAATACTAAAAATATGGTTTACTGAATGAATTAACTGTTACCCTTTTCCCATTTTTTTCACACTGTGATTAACATCAGACCTAATAGAAATCAGAAGTCTCTGATGAGTCTGTAGCTCTACTGGTCTAACCGTATAACAAAAGAAAAGTTACTGTAGCACTTACATTTGAAACTTTGCAACAGGCAGCAGTCAACAGAATTATGTATCTTAGTGTAGTCTACTTGTGTGCCAAATTATATTGAAATCAGATCAAAACCTTAGGAGGAGTGGCATTTTGAAAAATTGATTACAGGCAGACGGACAGCTAGACAGACAGATGACGGACACCTTACTATCGCATAAGCTCTTCTGGTCTCTGATCAGTAGAGCTGAAAATACAATCTATAATTCACTGATTAGATTTTCAGCATAAGCCGCAGTTATTGCTGTTAAATTTTTAGAAGTAGATATTGTTGGAATTTACACATTAAATAAACACAAAAAATAATAAGCAAACTCAAAATTTAGCAGCAAGCATTGCCTTTAACTGATTACAGCAATTTTAAGATAGGCCACTAGAGTTTTACCAGTAAGTACAAGTTAGTCAAACTTTAGCAAGTGCAAAAATTAGCCAAATTAGCTAAAAAATAACTTGGGCTAAAAATAAGTGTTTTTACAGATTTTTAAAGTTTTTGCCATATGAGGAATTTTACAATAGAGTCTATGTACATACTAAACTTGTATGAACTTTAAAGAGCTATGCTGAATAATACATGCATGAGTTATTGTGTTACCAATGTTTTGGTCAATGATAAATATATACTGATATACCAATATCTTGGATAAGCAGATCATGTGTGTTCCTAATTCAAATTAAATACAGTTGAACTTTGGTATCTTGAACACAGATCTTGCATGAATATCATAGATACATCATAAAGGAACTGAAGTTTGAACCATTTTAAAAAAAATTATGTTGTATTGTCTTCATCTTGAGGTCTCAAAAATATCAATTTTCCCATTAACATGCAGTTCAAGATATCAATAGATATCAATGTCTGACTGTATTTTGATGAGGATGGGGAAGCCAGAGTGGATCAGAGAATATTTGATAAATATATTTACACTCGACAAGCACTTTTCATCGAATCTTAAAACAATGCAAACTAGTGTTAATTGTAACGGAGATCCGTTACACATGTTCCCCAAACGCTCCCCACATTCCTTTTTGTGCCTTATTCCTGTAAGATTTCTTTTTTTTAGTTGCTCAGTATTGAAGGATTTGATTTAAAAATGGAAGAAGTTACAATGATATCAACTATATATCATTTAACGTTTTGCATGCACGCGCACGTTCATACATATGCAAGATGATCATGGCATGTTGGCTAAATGATTTACATATCTTTATATACTGAGAATCGAAAGAAATTAATCCAATATAAATGTTACCATTTTTCAAGTATATTATTCCTTTTGCGCATGCGCACGTACATGTATGTCCTTCATATCCTAAATTTCATACCGTTTAATTAAGAACCAAGAAAGTTACAGGCGTTTAAAGTTTCAACCAATCAGATTGCAGAACACGTGCATGCGCGTGCTTTCATGATAATTCTTATTTATCATACTGTAGATCTTTATAATGTATGACTATGTTCAAAATTTCAAAGGATTATCAGAAAAAACAAGAAAGATATTGAGACCTTAGTTTCAGCCAATCAGAGCAAAGCGCACGTGCATGCGCGTGACATCTTGCTATTTTGACCATGCCATCTTGTCTACGCTACTAATATATCCTTACATTATAAATTTCAAAAGATTTCATAAAAAAATAGAAAAGTTACGGCTATATCCATTATATAGGTCATTTCACGTGTTGCACGTGCGTGCTCTTGCAAGCACGTGCACGCAAAATGGCATGTTGACAATGTCATTTTATGTACATTTATAATATTTTTCCCGAGAAGAAAAATAATAATAATAATAATAACTAGATGCGTTCTTGTTGCTGGTGCAACAAGCAGGTCTTCCGACCGATTTTCGTTAGAATTCTATGCTACGTCATCCCATTCAGAATGTATTTTTTTCGTTTACGTTCATTTACAGCAGCCTCTCAACATACCTCATGATTATTACAAGTATTCCTCAAAATATCTCAAGAAATAGCTTTTAAAAATCAGCAGAATCTTCCATACGTGTTATAAAAGAGATAAAAGTCATTTGCAATTGAAAAAAGACATAAACAAAGAAAAAAATTTTGGAACGGCCACAGCGGGATTCGAACCCCCGACAGTAGGACAAAGTTTGGTTCGGTCATATCTTTTCAATACATGCACGCATCAAGATACTGAACACATATTTAGAATTCTCATAAGACACACTATAAACCCTGTAAATCCTAACAAAAAATATTGAAAAACAAAAAAGTTTAGAAATGGGACTTTTTGAATACACTTCCGTTAGCGACCGGAAGTGCCGACGACGACAAATAAAGGTCGTTCCCATAATGGAGTTCGATGTTCTATCACCTCAGTGAGTTTCACTTTCATATCTTAAGCTGTTCTTGAGAAAACTGCTGGACAAAATGCCTTTAAAAAAAAACAAAAATCCCCAAAAATCACGAACGGAAGTAAATATTGAAAAAATGAAAAACACGTCTGGAGATATTTTTATGATGCATCTTCCCTGCAAAAATCTTTGAAATCTGTCCACTCATAGCTGAGATATCGGCTGTACTATGAAAATAGAATAATAATAATAACTAGATGAGATCTCGTTGCGAGCAACGAGTAGGTCTTCCATTGAATTTCTAGATAAGATGAGATGTGATTTTGACTGAGATAATCGTTAAAAGAGAATGACTTTAAGTTTTCTTTTAGGAAATTTAAAATTTCTCATTTTTATCAGGGTATTCTGAACATCTTTTGTTCAATAAAGCTTATAAAAACACATCCCCTTTTTGAGACGTAAAGCATAAAAAAAAAGCATTTTGTCCCTTGCAACCCCTAATTACGTAACATATAATCAAAATTGTATCATATTTTGATACAAATCGTTATGATGAATAATTTTGCTCCAGTAATGTGGAACAAAATATTGATCATTAAAGAGTTATAGATAAAAGACTTTTGGCCCTTCTGAGCCCCTATTTTGAGGGGTCAGCCCCATTTTCTTGATATCAAATGAAAGGTCTTTTGATTTTTAAGTTTTTTTGTTCAACACTTATTCAGAGATTTCTATTCGTTGTGGAGATATGCTAAATGGAAATAATTAGGGGCCACTCCTACAAGTCCTTAATGGGGCCGTTTTACAAAAATTCAAAGTATGCATATTGTTTAGTACATTATTCTGGCCATCTTATGTTCAATATTGCTTATTAAAATATTCCCCCTTTTCGAGATATAAAGCGTCAAAGATTTGACATTCTGCCCCCTTGTGACCCCTTATTACGCAACATATGATCAAAATTGTATCATATATTGTTGCAAATCGTTAAGATAAACACTTTTGCTTCAGTAATGTATGACAAAATATTGTTCATTAGAGAGTTATAGATAAAAGACTTTTGGTCCCTCTGAGCCCTCAATTTGAGGGGTCAGCCCCTTTGTCTTGATATCAAATGAAAGGTTTTGTCATTTTTAAGAATTTTTGTTCAACACTTATTCAGAGATTTCTAATCGTTGTGCACATGTTCTAAAAGGAAATATTTAGGGGCCACTCCTACAAATCCTTAATGGGGCCGTTTTACAAAAATTCAAAGTATGCATATTGTTTAGAACATTATTCTGGCCATCTTTTGTTCAATATTGCTGATCAAAATATTCCCCCTTTTTCAGATATAAAGCGTCAAAGATTTGACATTCTGGCCCCTTGTGACACCTAATTACGTAACATATGATCAAAATTGTATCATATATTGTTGCAAATCCTTAAAATAAATACTTTTGCTTCAGTAATGTATTACAAAATCTTGATCATTAGAGAGTTATAGATAAAAGACTCTTGGCCCCTCTGAGCCCTTAATTTGAGGGATCAGCCTTTTTTTCTTGATATCAAATGAAAGGTTTTGTGATTCGGAAGATTTTTTTTAAAATACATATTCAGAGATTTCTATTCGTTGTGGAGATATGCTAAATGGAAATATTTAGGGGTCACTCCTACAAGTCCTTAATGGAGCCGTTTTACAAAAATTCAAAGTATGCATATTGTTTAGAACATTATTCTGGCCATCTTTTGTTCAATATTGCTTATCAAAATATTCCCCCTTTTCGAGATATAAAGCGTCAAAGATTTGACATTCTGGCCCCTTGTGACCCCTATTTACGTAACATATGATCAAAATTGTATCATATATTGTTGCAAATCCTTAAGATAAATACTTTTGCTTCAGTAATGTATTACAAAATCTTGATCATTAGAGAATTATACATAAAAGACTTTTGGCCCCTCTGTGCCCTTTATTTGAGGGGTCAGCCTTTTTTTCTTGAGATCAAATGAAAGGTCTTGTGATGTTGAAGATTTTTTGTTCAATACTTATTCAGAGATTTCTATTCGTCGTGGAGATATGCTAAATGGAAATATTTAGGGGTCACTCCTACAAGTCCTTAATGGGGCCGTTTTACAAAAATTCAAAGTATGCATATTGTTTAGAACATTATTCTGGCCATCTTTTGTTCAATATTGCTTATCAAAATATTCCCCCTTTTCGAGATATAAAGCGTCAAAGTTTTGACATTCTGGCCCCTTGTGACCCCTATTTACGTAACATATGATCAAAATTGTATCATATATTGTTGCAAATCTTTAAGATAAATACTTTTGCTTCAGTAATGTATTAGAAAATCTTGATCATTAGAGAGTTATAGATAAAAGACTCTTGGCCCCTCTGAGTCCTTAATTTGAGGGATCAGCCTTTTTTTCTTGAGATCAAATGAAAGGTCTTGTGATTTGGAAGATTTTTTGTTCAATACTTATTCAGAGATTTCTATTCGTTGTGGAGATATGCTAAATGGAAATATTTAGGGGTCACTCCTACAAGTCCTTAATGGGGCCGTTTTACAAAAATTCAAAGTATGCATATTGTTTAGAACATTATTCTGGCCATCTTTTGTTCAATATTGCTTATCAAAATATTCCACCTTTTCGAGATATAAAGCGTTTAAGATTTGACATTCTGACCCCTTGTGACCCCTAATTACGCAAGATATGCTTAAAAGTTTGTAATATATTGTTGCAAATGGTCTAAAATTAAAAAATATCGAAAAATCAAACAGAAAAAATGATAAAATTTTTTGGTCACACGGGGGATCGAACCCGGGTCGCCCGCGTGACAATCCAACGCGCTAACCATTTAGCCAATGGGATCGCCACTTCGCGTTTTTAAATGCAAATATCTCGAGATTGGCTTTTTCGATTTTCAAACAAATTACATATTTGGTTTCTACAAGAGGGTCTCTATTCACATCAAAAACAAAAATATTAAAAAATAAAAGTTGAAAAATTGCGTTTTTTAAATTCACTTCCGGTAGCGACCGGAAGTATTGATGACACACGGAAAGGTGATTCTGCAAAGCTATAAGTCATAAACTATCATCTCAAATAAGTCTCCTGTTCATATCTTGAGCAGTTTTCGCTAATAAGTTCAGACAAAATTGCATTTTAAAATCAGGAAATTTTAGATAACTCACGACCGGAAGTGACGTCATCAACAAAAAAAATTTCCAATAAAGTTCAGATCAGTACCTATCAGATGTGAAAGTTTCATGTCTTGAGAATCGGCCCAGTAGTTTACGAGAAATCGCGTGCACAAAATCGGTAAGAATAGGGAAAAAGAAACCGAAGAATAACAAGAAGGTCTTCCGTTGGAGACGGAAGACCTTAATAATAAAAAACAGAAGGAAAACAATAAGGTCTTCCGAAGGAAGTCGGAAGACCTTAATAAGAAACAGAGTAAAAACAATATGTTCCCAAACTTCGTTTGGGGAACATAACTATTGAAATATATGTCATAACACTATCCATGAAAGAAAAATATCATCGATCGAACAAAAATAACTACTTACTTAAGGTTTCTTTGTTATCTTCTTCTAGAAAACCTGTAAATTATTCAAATAAACAAACTTCATCACAAATAATTTGTATAAACAGTTGAATGTAATGTTTAACTCTAAAATAGGAGAGATATCTTTATCTAAGGGCTAGCTTTTTTCCCTCATTTTTTAAAAAAATTTTATTTTTCTTGTTTTAGTGGTGTAAACCAAATTCTGATGCCTCAAAACTTAAAATAATTTTTTTTTAAAGAAATGTTTTCTCCAGGCAACATATTCAATTAGAGTAGCTAGTGTACACTTAAATATAAGTAAACAATGAAATATGCAGCCATAAAACTGCAAAAGGATGCAATACCTGAATTACAATTAAACATACAATCTTCTGATCTGAAGTGACTTATTTACACATACCTTTGTATATAAGGAAGATAAAAATGAATGAGGCTAGCAGGCCTCCTATTTTTGACTGTGGTAAGTCACGAAGAGGGTTTTTGCACCTTATCATCATTCTAAAAATGGAGAAAAAAAATTCATAAAACATTCTTTCTTCAAGTGTACATTGCACTCTCACTACTGCTGTGTCCAAAACATAAAGTCCTCACTGTAACTGAGCCTTATTTTTCTTACATGTTGTATTTTTTTCTATACATTTATTGCATGACCGTGAGGGAAATATGAAGATTTATTCAGCAAAGAAAAATTAATTTCCTTTGAGGGCTTTGCCCCAGTTGAATGCAATATATTTCTTGGCTGAATAAATCTTCATGTTTCCTCAACATTCATGCAATAAATTATTTATTATACTGAAACAAATAAAACATAAAAAATATGGTACATAATCTTTCAATCCTAGCTACACCACTCTCAAATTCACTTTCAATTTAAATGTAAAATTTCTGAAAGCTTTGGACACAGTACACACTGATAAAACAATTTGTGACGTGAACCAGGCTATTGTGGTGTCATCTACTTTTGGAGTCTTTGATCGTGAGTAATAAATATTGTTGAAAAATGCACTACGTATCTGAGGAGGTTAAATATGATGAAAGGCATGCTGACGACAGGGAAATATAAAGTTTTATGGCCTGGTCATGTGATAACCTAGAATCAATCAGATGATGTGTTGAATAGAATCATCATAGGAGGTGAAATATAATACCTCAATAGATAATAAATTTTAGAGAAGTAAGATTTAAAATTGTATCTCTTGACATGCATGGTTATACTGTAAACCTGATTACCAGTACACAGTGTTGAAGCTATGTCATTTACATGTAGGTATTATACAAATATGGTGAATGAAAACTTTGATGGATTTAAGTCAATTTTTTTCAATACTGTATACAGCGTTATTTTCACCCCGACTTATTTTAGCCCTTTCACACTAACAAACAATTTTGCCCCGTTTAAAGTTTGCCCAGTCATAGCTTTGTTTAAGAATTCATATTGTACTTTTTGAATTCGCCCCGTTTTAAATTCCCCCAGATGAGGGTAGGGCGAAGGGAGCGAAAATAAAACGGGGGCGAAAATTTCCCTGTATACAGTATATTCACATCTGTCATGTAAGTTTCTAATCTGAGTAATCTAAAGAACATGTGTGCTCTGGCTCCCTTCTTTCCATAATTAACTTTTGTATTAAGTCTCACCTGCAAAGTTTCATCTATTTATGTGCATTGGACATATCTCTTTTCTTTTTTCTCAATCAAAACAGTGAAGTTGAATGCCAAGCAACATTTTTTTTTGTTCTCCATGGTTCATCTTGCATGGTCATAAAAATAAAAATAAATAATTAATTAACACAATCTTGATGAGGATTTCATATGGGAAAACAGATGATTTAGGGAGACCCATATGGACCTGGAAAAGATCAATAGAAGTACTGACAAGAAAGTTAACATTTACAGAGACTTTTGTGTGTTGAGCTACCGGTATCTCCCTATAGAGTACAGTCAAGTTAAAACATGTTAATCTATCTTTGTATTTAACAAAACAATTTAATTAACACCCCCTTTGTATAAATAATTACATTAAATAAAAAAATAAAGCATTCAAAGATTGTTTATCATGTTATTCAGCTGATGACTGACTTATTGCAGTGAATTCGGTATAACATCTTTTTTTTTTTAAGATTAATCATGAAAAGCAATGAAGAGTGTCGAAAAATTGATGTTATATCCTTAGGATCCTGTATTCAGACTTACAGGGTACCCTAGCTGCAGAACTGTAGCTCTCCGAAAAAATATATTGACAGACAAGAGAGCTATAGTGCCACCCATTGTAAAAACTGTATATCTATGGTGCACAAAAAAGTGTGCTGTTTCTCAATTTATATCTCCATGTTTTTAAGCTATCATCTCCAAATGGTATTAGCCGGGTTGTCCAAACATATTCTTTCACTGTTTCCACAACAAAACATTCCCTCCTGGTCCTGGAACCATTGAAAAAAATTTCTATTTATACAGTCATTTTGGTTTAAAAGATATAATTCGGTCCAACATGCTTCGAGCAGATGTCAACTACGAGAGTACTTGATAAATGTCTTTTTACGATTGAGGTAAGAAATTAAGAAATTTGAAGAATTAATCCAGACTTTAGCACAAATTTTTGTGCACAATAAGGCCAAGCTTAAAAAAAATCATTGTTTGCAGTTGCCGACCTATAATTTTTAGACTGGGTCGGTAGGTAGGCATTTTTTTTTTGAAAAAAATTGGATTTTTGTTAGATAACAAATAAAAGAGGTTTTCAGACATACTAGATATGAATAAGCCCAACTCTTGTTATAAACCACTGATTGAAAAAAAACAAGAGTCAAAATTTGAAAATGAAACAGTTTCAATATTATGAAAAATTGAAAAAAAAATTTTTTAAAATTACGAAATGGCTAAAAAAAAGTTTGTGTCGGGTGCATTTTCAGTGGGTCGATAGGCAACTGCAAACAAACTTATTTTTATTTCAGGCCTAATCAATATACAGTTTTTACAATGGGTGGCACTCTGGTCTGTAAATATATATTTTTTCCACAGAGATACGGTTCTGCAGCTAGGCGTACCCATGGTTTGAATAATTTTAATTCATACATGTACAATGTATGGCTGGCAATTTGCTAGGCCTACCAGATTCAGATGACAGAAAAAATTGGGCTATTAAATGCTTGGTACAATGACGACTTCATATTAAAAGATTAACAGGTCCAGTACAATCACTAGATTTAGCTACGTAGGTAGAATTACCTACGTAGCTTTATTAACCTACCTCAGGTAGCTTTATTTAGCTATTTCAAGGTAAGTTTTCAAAAGTTTTCTTTTTATGAAAAAGAGACAAAAAATCGCAGTTAAATGACTATTATTCTTTATACGAGGGAGGCTTAAAAAAACAATTCAAAGCAGAGATAGTTTAAACATTGCTGCGTTCGGTCAATTTAGAGCAAAACGTGTAATTCCATTGTTTGGTTATCTGACCATACGGTGAGGTGCGGTGAGGCATGACTGAGTATGATTACTTCACATAGTGCTAAATAATTACAGACCTATTATCGTGTTAATCGGAACTGGACTTCTTTGTCATTTCATTCAAGGAGTAACTGTTTTAACTGTCATACATAGCCCCAAAACTTTCAGAACTTTGATTGCAATTGTGCAGAAAAAGACATTTCTTCAAGAGGGAATTTTTCATGAATTGTTTTCAGATGAGTTCAAAGTTGAAAATGATCACTGCATCAAAATGATATTTTCTGCACACCCTGAGAAAAATGCTTTTTTATAAAAATAAATTGATTTGGTAGCTAAATCAAGCTACCTCAGGTAGGTAAATAAAGCTATGTAGGTAAATCAAGCTACGTAGCTAAATCTAGTGATTGTACTGGACCTGATTAAGGATTACAAAGTTAGTTTTTTTAGTTGTCGTGGTTACGAGCAGCTCAGCTCGAGTTGAGTTGACTATATAAAAATGACGATATTGCCAAGATTCTCATAACTTACGCCTTCATTGTATAACTTAATTGTACACTCATACAATATCTGAGAGAGAGAGAGAGAGAGAGAGAGAGAGAGAGAGAGAGAGAGAGAGAGAGAGAGAGAGAGAGAGAGAGAGAGAGAGAGAGAGAGAGAGAGAGAGAGAGAGAGATTTTGTCTTTCACACTGCGAAATAACGTTACATCTTCCTTCTTTCATTTTCATCGATTTTCCGGAAGTGGGTGGATGCTAGTCAATTTGTTCTTAAAATAACTCGATTCCAGTTTCTGCTAGTTGTTTCCCAACAAACCCTTCGTGTGATCTATACACTGCATACAGAAGATTTTTTATGCTATGCCATTTTATGCGGTGACCATGATCTGTCTTTAGCTTTTCTCCATAATCAATGAATTTAAGCATAATTCAAACACAGGGCATAGAGTCATTTTGAGTTTGAAAATAAAAAAGAACACTATCCAGTGTTATCCCCACTAACCATGCTAATGTCGCTTACAACGAAGAGTATCAGACACTGACAGACAGTCTAGAGCACAGGTTCTTGGGGACGGGACCCCCCCCCACTTCCGTGTTCCGTACTCCAAGGGTTCTTTGACTTTTTTGATTAAAATATTTTTCTATGATATTTTCACAAAGTATTACTACTAAAAAATCCAAAATTTAAGCTAAAACTAGCTTTTTATAAAAATCCATTCTCTGATACTAAACGTTAGAGATGTTTTAGTATCAGACGGTATGCTTTTTTTGGAGTAGGGAACACATGAGGGGAGGGGGGCCCGTCCCTAAGCACCTGTGGTCTAGAGTAGAGCAGGGAAGAAAAATTTGTTATGCAGGCGCGGATGCAGGAATTCTTTCCAGGAGGGGGTTTCACCTCAGTCCCCCCAAAAAATTCAACCCAGATATTTTTTGATAAGCAAGAAGCAGCCACGTAGCATCGTTTTTGAAAGTGGGGGGGGGGGCAGCCAGAGAGAAAAAAATTTTTGGACTTACTGAAAAAGTTGTCAAGCAAAAAAAAAAAAAGGAAAACTGCCCAAACTCCAAAATCCTATTTCGGGGGGTGGGGGGTGGGGGGTGGGGGTGTAGAGGCCAACTTTTTATCAATGTTAACTTTTTTCAGTACCATTTTCCCCCATTCAATAATAAATTTCCCGGATATCAACTTCCTATAGTATCAAGTGTGTGTGTTTGGGGGGGGGGGGGCGCAACCAGCCTTTCAATGAACATTTCCAATAGTAAAAGTAATGTTGGGATAAAAATGGGGGGGGGGGGGCAGCCCGTTGCTACGTGTCTGAAAAAGAAAAGAAAGAAAGAATGAAAGTAAATTCGTGGAAAATCTATTTTCGTGTGTGTGGGGAAGGGGAGGGGAGGGGGGGGGGGGGGTCGTTGACTTTAATTTCAAACTTCAAACCTATGTCCTTTCATACAAATTTCACATAGACCTGCATTTTCGAGGAGGGGGACTTTTACTTGATTTCGTATAATCTGTTACTAACATTTACTAACTCTGCACATTCCAGAGGGAGGGGTCCCCCCCCGACCCCTCTAGATCCGCGCATGTTATGGGCAATTTCAATCAGAGCAGACAATATTTGCCACAATGAAATTATAAGCACACAAAGGACAGGAACAGACGAACGAAAGATTTGCATAACTTTATACTTCTTAAGAGGAATAATCTGCCATCCTCAAAGAATTCACAAGGCAACATGGAGACCCCGACGACCATGTTACAGAGAACCAGATTGACCATATCTGCATCAACAAGAAATTTCGAGTTGCCTATACAGAGAACATTTCAGGATGATGAGAGAAAAATACATTTCATTCGAACACAATCTTCTGATGACAGCATTAAGACTCAATGTGTTGAAAAACATTTGCACATAAAGAAGTCCTCGGCTAAAGAAAGGCTCTATGAGTGAATGTTTAAAAATACCTTAAGTAACCTGGATCTGAGGAAGGAAAGAAAGCAGCATTAAACACAAACCAGACAAGAGCAGCAAAGACAAAAGCTTAAGACGACTAGACAACCACAAATATAAAAGAAGTGAAGAAAAGCACCAGGAAAGATCAACAAGTTCACATTGACAATTTGCCAAACAAGGTGAAAAAGGAGACTTCAGAGAACTGTACATGGTCCCAAAGAAGATCCTCAAGTTTCAACAGACAGGCAAGCAGTAAAGGACAAGAATGGGAACCCTCTTCTTGCAACAACAGAAGAACAATTGAAGACGTGGTAGGGACATTTTCGAAGGAGAGCTTTTGAAAAGACCAACTCGAGAAACACCTGCAGACATACAAGCCGATTCAGCATTCGATCAACTGCAACACGACAACAAAGAAATCAGGAGAGAAATTATCATAATTAGAATGGAATAGCGGCATAGCATTTGGAGATATCAGCGGAAATCCGCATCAGAGCTCATACAGACAGCCGCTAACAATTTAAACAGCCTTTTCAGGAAGAAAGAAAACTCTCCCAAGGCATTAATGTATTAAGGTCAAGATCTAGTAAATGAAGGGTGCCTACAGATTTATCAAATTCAAGAAATGAATTCCTTTAATGATGCTTTATAACTTTAGCTTGGTCAAAAAAGGTGTTTCGGGGCATAATTTGTAGGAAAATAAGATGAAAAACCATATTTTAAACTGTCATTTTCAATGAAAAAATAAGAAAATTAGTCATGAATATGGGAGTTTTTTCCATATCACACAAACAAAATGTATCCAGATTGCCTACAGTCTTTCAGAAAACGGTAATTTGTATGTTCTTGGTCTCTTCTTTTAAATAATGTCAAATTTAATATAGGTATCCAGACTACTTTTCAGGTGATTTCAAATTGAATTCCATGAAAATACTTTATTTTCTACATAATTCTACTGGAGCCGTAAAGTACGGGAAAAAGAAAGTTGAAAGTGATTATGACGTCATAATGGATCTAGCACCAAAATGTTAGTCTCAAGTTATTTACTAGATCTTGACCTTAAGATAAGCTGTCAAAGAAGAGATATATCTAAGGGACTGCAGTAACTACCGGGGAATTCTGCTCCTCAACATGATCCTTCTCGAGAAGTTGAAAGATGCAGTGGATCCAAATCTCAGTGACAGCAGCTACTGTAGTTTATAGATCACGTGCTGACCAGAGAGCCAATCTGCGCATCATCATTATACAATCACTTGACTGGACGTCCCCCTCAATACCATTTTCAATGATAACAAGATACACATGTAGCATACGACATCTTGGACCAAAACCTGCATATACTGTCGAAAATACTACATGAAGCACTTTGGAGTATCCGAGAGGCTCTGGAATATGAGTACTATCAAACAGGAACAATGGTATAAGCAAGAGATACTCCTGATGTAACTCGACGATCTCGACCCTGCTGATGACCTGACTCTCTTTTCGCACAACCAAAGTCAGATGCAGGACAAAACAACTCACCTTGCAAAAACATCAGAACGAGTCTCAAGATCAATAAAACCACCCAGAATTGATGAAGATCAGTCATAGTCGGTGATAAGCTCATCAGAGAAATTGAGTCCTTCATCTATACCTTGGGAATTTCCAAAACCACATGAAATGAAGGTAGAATGATAGGCGCTGGACCTTTCCATTGGGCAGTAAAAGCAGCCCGGAATGGCGCTCGTTAGAGGACTGTCGGCGATGGCGCATATGTTCCGCACTAATTGATAGACCTAAGTCAGTAAGTCAGATTATCAAATACTAGTACTCAACATAAAAAAAATCTTTGTTCTTCACCAAAGTCAAGCCTTGCAAAAAACTTTGCTATAACAACTTAACAAGACATTAAGCACTTTTACGCAGATCGGAACCTCATTATTCAAGAAATTCACCTTCATACCATTTTATAACATTGAGCCATTTTTTAAAGGCAGTCTCATTCTCCAATCTATTTTGAAATATAATAAAAGCCATTGGTAAAATATTGTTAAATTTAAGAGGAAAGCAGGCTGCACACAGTTGTAGAAATTCAGCAACCAGGCCTGCTTGTATTAAATTCTTCCCAGCGTATTTTTGGATAGTATTTCAACTTTGACAATCCAAAATAATTTTATTACATTTTACTGTATTGGAACGTGAAATCAAGTTTAACTTTGCAAAATCTGAAGTCAATGACTTTTAAGCATTGTTTTACACTTAAAACATACGGAGAGTTAAATGTATACCTATGCTACACATGTATTTCTTTTCATTATCGTTCTTAAATGTAATAACAACTGACAAATTACATGCAATTTGGTTTTATAATTTGTTCATTAAGTAAGCAGTCATTAGTTCAGATTCACTGTTCGAGGGTATTTATAAACATTGACGGATTGATTGTCTATATCCCCTACATAAAGATTGTCATCGCTGTCTACACAAAGACCACGGGGAGCGGATACGCCATGATGTGGTGTGATCAACAGGGACAGAAAGTTACCGTCAATGTCAAGGAGGTGGACATCGTTACACTGGAGCCTGGCGTTGCAAACGATGATGTGACCAAGAATATCATTAGCAATTCCATTAGGCAACAAGTCACCCAGGGGCTCTCGACATGAGTAGGAAAACCGATGTTTTCTGATTTATACACGACAACCACGGCGTGTTTGTAGAAATCTGATGTGCCTATATCTCTATTGATGTTCTCTGTAATATAACGTGGCGTCTTGTACAGTTGCCTACCTGTGTCGTCTTTCTGTACTTCCAAAATCTTCTTCCCCGTTTTGCTGTATTTGTCAACTTCGCATCTTTTCCGTCACTGAGTCCCACTAGAACATCTCCGCTAGTAGGAGATGAGTAGACACTTTGCGCTCTCCAATATCCTGTGTTGATAATGAATCTTCTAAACTTCTTGCCATGCAGGGGGGGGCATTCTCTGAATGGTTTTTCCATTGTTGTCTATATATAATACATTTCCATCAACCTTAAATGTATGGAATCCATAATTTCTCTCCCGTGTCACTTTGTATTCTAAAAGCCATGAGCTGTGTTCCTTGGTCTTCAGTCTGTACTATATCACCCAAAAATTACTTATCCAAAATTTTCCTGACTTTTCACGTGAGATATTCCAAGGTTTAATACCCTCCGGAACCTTGAAATCTCTTACTTTCGTGGGAGAGGTTGCGAGGCACTTTGGCATTCTTTCATTCTTTAATGCTTCCGAAAAAAATAAGATTTTATTATTTCAGAAAATTAGTGTTTTGTTCTTGTCCCTTCGTAACATGCTTCGCTTCTCACCTTTATTTTGCAAACGATTTGCCAAATTTGTACATGCGCATTAGGGTTTTGAGATTTTCATTTAAGTCTAAGAAGTTTTCAAGTCTTACAAGTGAATTTTCATGGTCCAAATATTCACACCAATATAACAATGGCAGTGTTATAGTTTACGAGATGGAACTAAAGTCATAAGATTAATTTTTAAACGTTTCATCTTTACATGTTCTTAGTGAGACCTAGAACTGTAGGGAAACGATTTTGTGCATGAGTTGACATACATATTTTTACTTCATGGGGGAACACATATATAATTTTTTAAATCTCCTCTTGAAGTTTACTTTTCAAGTTGTTTTTAATATAAATTATACATGTTCTAAAATCTTGCATGGAGTTTCTTCATAGTTGTTGATTAATTCAATATGCTATAAGTTATAATATAAGATTAAAATAAACAAGTTGTACACGGATTTTCCTCGATATTTCCAGATCATGAGAAGGAGCACACGACGGGAGAGACAGGTCGGCAGGGGATACTCACTCCTCATGGCACCTAATCCCACCTCTGATGTTTTGGAGGTCTGCGTTTGATCCGCATTTATTTTACAATCACGTTATACGGACTTTTGACCTCGAATATTAATACTGTTCTTTATCTGCACATATTTCAGTAAAATGTTTTGTAAAGCTTAATTTTAAATTAGTTATAATTATTTTGTTTAAAAGAATATACTGATTATTCAATAACATCAAAGATTATTCAAAAGAGTTGATTAAAATACCGGTATAATTGAAATTAGTTGCTATTAGTTGCTATTGTAAATTTATCATATTTTAAAATTTGTTCTAACGTTGATGTTGAGTTTCCATTTAAACTTTATCTACAAGGAAGGATGTGTAATAAAACATTTTCTTTAAAAAGCGAATCATATTTTTCCCGAATGAAGATTTATAACAAAAGTAAATCTATTTCTACAAACCACAGGATATTTAAGTACATGTATTGAAAAAAAGGAAGTATTAATTTAGTTAATATGTTTAAGGGTGTTGACTTGAAATTGTAGACGACTTGTTCAATTCATCTATAATGGAAAACTATTCGTTTTTATATATCTTCAAAAAATAAAATTAGAAAAAGATGAAACGTTGATTCCAGTTTTCTTTTCAAGGTTTTTTAAATTAATGCGAACAATTACTTAGAATGAGCCAATCTATTGACCAACAAATTCATAAAAAAGGATATGAACAGTATCGATAAGAGTCATTATTAAGCAAAGTATGTGGTCAATACAATAACATTGTTGGCAAATACAATGTATCATTAATTAACTGAATCACGACATGCGTTTTTTGTACTAGTTGCTGGGCCAATTTTACACGGTGATTGGTCAACTCTATCACAGTTTGTTATCGTCTGTATGTTTAGAAAGTTAATTTACACATAAATGTGAAAAATTTCTATATTTGTCACGTTTTCTTTAATAGGTAACCATTGAATGTTAAATTATTATTTTCTATTAATTAAGTATAATCGTCAAAGGTCACATAACACATAGATTGTTGAAACAAATAATCATCCAAGACGTCACCTCTATTCACATCTTTCAGAATGGTAGTAGTGTATCTGGAGCACATTTAGTGATAATAAAGAACTTTCCACGAGGTATTAAACATGTTAAAGGTATTTAAACTTGAAAATAGGACAAAGACGTTATATTTTAAGTGGGGCACTAAATCTACATTCATAACAAAAATAAAACAGGAAGTAAATAGTCTGTTCGAAAATGGCAACATGGAATTATGCATTCTTAAGAAAATGTAAGTAAACATATTTTATATCTGCTTCTAAATTAATATTGGAATAAATTCCCATTTTAGCAAAATTGCCAGATGTGTAGAGGAAGGATCACGTACTGATGAACGGTCTGGAAATCGATGTTACTTGCACATATCACGGAACACAAGCAATATATTTAAAAAGTCTTGCATTCTAGTCTCATTGTTGATCCGTACATGTATTTTGATGTCTATGCTAAAGTTGTTGAGCTATCACCACCACTTAATTATGTTCCGAAAAAACCCACTCCTTGATATTGGATTGATATTTTATGATTAATCTTAAGTGGCAAATGGATGTACAGTATTAGTCTTGTACCCCTTAAAATTATAGAACTATTTAATGTGAATCTTTCACTTGGTCGGTTTATGCTGTGTACATACAAATGTCAGGTAAAATTTACAAGACGGGACGTGTTTACATATTATCGTGTTAAACCCAAATATGTGATTTTGATTATTTTCACTTTCCTCACCTCACCATCGATTGCACTCAATTTTTTCTAGAAAGATCCTTTATTTTTCTTACACATATTACAAGTGTTGAAAACATCCCGTTTATAAATTTTAATTCTCTTTTAATTCTTTGTCATAAGGTGTATAAACCATATTGATATCGTTGCCAGTGAGGGCTGTCCGAAGAAAAAAATGTTCAGTTGAGGAATACGATTGTGTCTATTTTTTTTTGGTTTCATGATGTGGTCAAACAAATGATAATTTGCATAAACGACGAAGTAAATTTATGTAGAGATAAAATATTTGTACTATTTGTAATTCTATTTCGGAAAATGACAATGTGGAAATGTAAATATTTTGAAACATACGCGTTCATGAAAGCAAGTAAGATGAGATTCTGAACTCATTGGTGCCGCACTGTACCCCCCATGATGAGAACAAATTAGAATCTACACCATCCCAGGATGCTTGCATTGTAACAACCACTAATAATATCAAAGTACTGAAAGCACTCATGGGAGTTGAACGTGGTGTTAAATAAAATCTTTGATCGGGAGGTTAAGTGAGTGAACAATATTATTGTTTCAAATACAGACAACTGTTTCAGATTTTTTGAGTTGCAAAAATCTTGAGAAAGACATTCAAAGACAGTGAATAGCAAAAAAAATGCAGGGGCCATATAGTTGCCTGCCTACATTAGTCCTTTTTTATACCCCCTGCTTGAAAAGCGGGAGGGTATTTATTAATCTGGATTTCCGTCTATCTGTTTGTTACGCTTTAGGTATACCCATCTCTTATCCGCAACTCCTCTTACACCACTGAACGAAATTTTCATAGAATCTTTATTTCATATTGCCGTTGTGCACCTTCTATTACTTTTCCATCCTACACATATTTTGGGTTTCCCATTGCAAAACATGGACACTGCCATTATATTCATATTAGAGGCGGTTGATCATTTATATAATTCACTGCTGACAGTCTTCAAATTTGTTAGATATTTTTCCTTTGCACCTTTACCCATGTGTTATGAAAATTTCAGTTTCGCAGGAATAATATCAATGTTGATAAAATGTGGATTTTAACACAGCATCCTTTTTAAGAGCTATCAGGTTTGTTATATAAAACGTCTCTGTGAATATAAATGTATTTCAATTACACGAACATTATACATGGAGTACGTCAGAACTTAATCTTTTTTAATATTGTGAAGAAAAAAGCAATACCAAGTTTAAAACAAATATTTAATGACCAAACATAAAAACAGTGGTATATGTGAGAATATGTGTGCGTACAAGTTATCTGGTATGTAAATTAGGTTTTCCTTCATTTTGTTGTTTTTACGAAATGATTTTACGAAAACATCAGTGTCCGTTTTTTGTTTTTATCATTTATAACAGAGTACTAGATTTACCGCTTTTGGCAGGTGATACTGTTGATTTAGTAATGAAAACGCATGTTTCCTAAAGTTTTTATGCATTAATGAATTCATTTAAAACCAAGAAAATGTTCATGAAAAGTTTGAATAAATTCTGTGCACCGGTAAAAAAGAAATTGCTAAAAATCCGGGACCGTCGGGCGTCGGGACTACTCGATTTACCGCTTGCCGTTAGTATGTAGAGTTGTCGATCGTATCTTTTTCAGTGTATGACGCCACACAAAAAATGAGTTCCATTACGAAAAACTTTTGAGGTTCTTTATAACTTAGTTTTACTTTGAACGAAATCTAATATTCAAAATAAGATTACTTTATCATTTTTACATTTACTTACATTTCAAATTATGAAAATTAGATCAATTCAGGAGAAAAGGACATGAACTATTTGTGGCGGATGTTTATGCATGTTTTCTGTTGAATATCATCGGGGTAAATCAGCCGACACAGTAGCCTCGCTTTCGTCTCTATATAATCAACACAAATTACTGCGCATGTTAAATACGTGATGACCATGGGAGATTGAACATAGTTCAACTCCAAATAACGCCGCATAATGATACAAATTTCATTAAGTTTTGCAACTGTAACACTTAATGCCATAAAATATTGCATTAATGGTTCACCCTTTCAATCGCTAATGCTAAATCGCTTCTTAATGAAAGAAATATATTATTAAGCGGATGAGCATGTCAACTATCTAATGGAATGATTTATGACATTGCAAAGCTTAATCATATCATTAAGCGGCGTTTTATATTAATAGCGGTTGCTACAATGTATATAAGTTTCAGTTTTTCTGGCCGAGCGAATCTTGAGAAGAAAATTCTTTTAAAAAGATATATTTTTTATATTTAAATTTTGGTCCCCACCCTACCCTCGGGGGCTCATGATTAAATAATTTTTAATTTCAATTTCTGAATTACCCCCCCCCCCCCCCCCCCCCCCCCCCCCCCCCCCCCCCCCGCTGGAAGGGAACCTTATTTTAACAAATTAAAATTTCCCTCACCCAATTATGCTTTGTACATACCTCCTTACCAGGCACTTCGATATTTTTAAAATCATCCTTTGACACTTTTGATATGGAAAGCTTTTTTTCTCCCCATATCTACGTGGTCTTTTCGAAGAATCTTTTTGTTTTATGACTACCGTATACTAGCAGTTCTTTTTTTCTCCTTAGAATCGCGAAGTAAATAGGAATTCCTTACGTCGCGGGTTCGAATCAAGTATTGGATCGGATTAGACCCTATAAACAGAAGTTCCGTGTCGCAGTACGAGGTGCGGGTAAAAATAAGATCCCTCCCTGCTCAATGGGCCTGAGTTCCGAGTATATAACAAATTTTGCAGCTCTCCACCATCAAGTGGTGGCGTCTCCATATGAGTGAAATATTATCGAGAGGGACGTTAAACAGCAAACAATCATTTAATCAATACAATCAAAATAAACAATTTTTTTTCGATGGAACAATTGAAGTTCTCTTTAAAGTTCAAAAATTATTAACATTTAATCATTTATTCCTTTGTGTTCAACAGGAAATTAAACCATTAAATTCAATGTTAAAATCATTTTTATTTTTGATTAAATTCAATGTTAAAATCGTTGTCAATATATAAGTATTTAATAACATGACTCAGCTATTAATTAGAGTAAGATATGACTTAGAATGTTAAATATAATCACCCAAAGACATCAACTCTATTCACAACTTTCAAACAAATGAAAATATAGTCAATCGTATTTGAAGCAAATTCCTTGATAAACCGGAACGTTGCAACCATCACAATTTCACATTTGTTGAAGGCATTTAAATAGAGTGAAAATGATCTTTTATTTAAAGTACACTTAACGTTACCCACATTAATAAGGAATTTTTAAACAGGAAGTAATTTAGTTCTGTTGGCTAAAATGACGAAATGGAAGTATGCAATTGAATGTAGGTAAATGCTTTTATTTCTGCTAGTCAATGATTATATTACATCTAAATACAATTTTAACAAAATTGTCAAATTGTTAGACGAAGGATCAGTACAGGTCAATCTGGGAACTAAGATGTCGATGACATATTTAAAACGCATATAATGAAATGTTGAGAATGTCCTTAATTCTGATTCTTCTTTTCACATTCCTACGTATGTTAAACATATATAGATATCACAAAAAATATCATTCAAGAAAATAACCTCATTAATCATGCATCAATTGAGATTTGTAAGAAATCTGAATGGGACCAAAATGTACGTTTTGAGAACTATTTAGTGCAAGCCCTCTTACGCATGTCAGTAAATATAGGGGCTTTTATATCTGTGACATAGATATTGTAGTTATTTTTATAAACACCTTTTACATGTTTAACGGATTCTTTCATATTTGCGCCCAACTATTATCATGGTTATGTCTTCAAGATAAGGTACATTTACAATCTCATATTTAATCTCTTACCTGAATGATTGCACTGATACTATTTTACAAGAAAAGTATTTTGCAGACGTTTATTCTAATCAGTAACTGTATTTAGACGTACAACTAAACACTATTTGTTTTTTTCTTTTGCATTGTGATTTTTGTCTAATATTTAGCAAAGAACTCTTTAAACATGTTAAAGTACTGAATTCTTTATTACATATTTAATCCTGCACTATTTTTTTTTCGTGCTAACTTTCGTATATTTTCGACCAATAACATATTGAGCTAATTTTGTGTGTTTAGAGCACATGATGTTCTTGAAAATATATTGTATGATTGTATACATTCAATTGCTTATCTTTTAATGAGATGAGTGATACATAAAAAGTATATAATTTCTCTACCACCCAATAATATTCTTCAAAATCATACGCATTAAACATTTAAAAGTTTCTCCCTCTCTTTGTATAAGATATATATTATATATGTTGATTTAATTTTTTTAAGGAACACATATTTTATTCCAGGGTTGTTTATGTCCATGATCCTACATTATGGTTGTCCAGATGACTTTGTCAGGTATGTATGCGAAATCGAAATTCTATACATTTATTATACTACCTTCATTTTTGTTTACTTAGCAATTAACACCAGACTAGACAAAGGAGAATGTGGGTTTTTGGTTGAGTACAAGGTATTGAAGATATAGTGCTTTCAAAATTCACAAATTCGCAAAGATTATACTTTTCAGTTTTAAAATTTGATGATTTTGTGTAATTAACTTTAAATGGAGATCTCCCTATCAAGGAGATCAATATAGTCTAAAATGGCCACAACAACCCAGCCCTCTTAAATAATTTAATAGCAAAGGCCGAACAAACTGTCTAAAACACGTCAGCAAAAATACAAACCATGCAATAGTATGTTATATTTGTTGACAAAGTCATCATAACGATCTAATATTGATTACAAAATGCTGTCTGTGTAGAAGTTTATGTAAAAACTCTTTTAAGATCAAAATTAAGAATCAGAGCTGCATTGCTTTAAACATACGTAATAAAAGATTACAAAAATCACCTCAGCGAATGTTATCAATATACTACAGGTGCTTGTGGACAGGACACCCACTCTCCGAATATACACTCCGGGTCCCTAGTTAACTATTATAAATCTTTTTTCATAAATTTATCTTCTAGTACACTTTACATTTGATTCCATATGAAAAATCTAAGAATTCACGTTTAATTGTTAATGCCATGTCATTTTTTTTTTTAAATTTTTTCATATGTGTACTATGAAAAAAAAAAGAATAAAAATATCTTGTGACCCGGGGTGTAAAGATAATTGTACATTCTCTCTCTCCTGTAGATTTGTTTAACCAAAGGGTATTTACCAAGATAAATTGTCGCCGACGTGTCGCAGTGATTAGAACCTCTGCTCTAAAATCGGTAAGCTAGGAGATGATCCTCAAGTCGCGGAACACAACCCACTGGTCCTTCGCATGAGAACGTATTTATAAACCGAGGTTCCATGTCGCAGACACAGGGAGGATGCTGACACGAAAAAAGTAATAAAATCCCCACTGCTCAATTGCTGTAAGTGCCGAGTATAGGAAAAAGTTTGCAGCTCTCTTCTGGCAAGTGCTGGCGTCTCCAAATGAGTGAAAAATTTTCTAGACGGACATTAAACAACAACCAAGGTTATTTTTATCGTTAACCAACAATGCTTTTCCGCTTATTTAAGTGATTTGTCTGCTTAAGCCACTTTCGTAACTCGTTGCATGTTTAATCTAGTCTGTTCTGACACCAAACAATATTTTCTTTTCTGTATGATCGTTCAGAAGATACATAACTGCAAAAATAATTAAAATATTCTTTCATGAGTTTAAATGAATTCTATAGAGATAAATATAATCTTACGGAATACCATTATACACGAGAACGAATTTCTCGTGAGCACACTGGTTCGCGTAATTGCACAAAAATAAAGTTCTCGAGATATTCTTATTGGTTCATTATTGTTTTCATGTCATGCTGAAAATTGACAATTTTCTGTCTATCCTGTCTCCACATACAAGTCAATACAATTTTATTCCCTTGCTTTACTTACCGAAGAAATTTATCCGATTTATCTTGCCATGATCTCGATGTATTGTAAATAACGTTTTATTTGCGAGAACTTTATTTTCGCGCAATTACGCGAGCCAGTGTGCTCGCAAGAAATTCATTCTCGTGTACGAGGGCAGTTCAATATTGTCCTTGGTGCTCGGAAAGAAACAAAAGACGCTTTTCAATGATTTAATCTTAATGATTTAACTTAATATTTTTAATTAAAACACATGTCATTAATCTTAATGATTTAACTTAATATTTATAATTAAAACACATGTCCATAGCATTATTTTATCCAATTTCTGATTGATTTTAGAACTCATTTTGGGTATCACCCTCAGTATACTGGAATATGGCAGATCTACGATTTCCTAAACTTGTGTCTTCCTGATAGGTGAAAGAAAGTTTGGAAAATGAAAGAAGTCAAAAGGCGAAAGATCTGGCGAATATTGTTAATGTGAAGACACATTAACGTTCTGATTATCCCCAAAACTCCTTTACTCTACATGATACGCGGGTTTGGACGCCTGTCATAAAGAAATTTTATGTAGTGGATTCCTGATTCTTTTTCCTTCCTCTCATAAACCTTTATACGATGGCCGATATCAGCCTGTACATATTCCGACTACTATTGAAATTTGTACATGTAAAATGTACATTGACATGTACATTTTTCAATGACAGTGCACACTTTGTGCTCTTAACTTTTGTCTGTACATGTACATTTTGCAATGACAGTGCACACTTTGTGCTCTTAACTTTTGTCTGTACATGTACAAAATGTCAAAAGGGCAAATTTCAAAACGTGAACGTTTGAAACACATATAATTCTAATTACAATTCCTGGTCGGCGAAAAACGATTAAACATGAATAAAACTGGATAAGGCACTGAGAAGATTAGTTTTCAATAAAAAGGATGAAAAATATTGAAAGAAAATGTAAACATTCTTGTGAACATTAGAACTAAAGTTAAAATTTGTCTTCTTTTACGAAAAGAATGAAATTTCCATAGATTAAAATCACCTTCCACAGACATTTCTTGCACAATGAATTGCCCCATCCAACCCAGAACATGATGACAATATAGTTTTTTTTTTATCAAAAGTAAAGGAAAGTTGCTAAGGACATTATATGAGTACGCGTTTCATAAAGTGTTTAGTAATTAACCATAACACAATACTTTTTTAAAAAACAAAAGCTCTCAAGTTTTTTCCACCTTTGCTACCCTTAAAACATCTTACAAGTGTATACCACGTCTAAGTTCCATCCCAGAATTGTGTTACCTTACTGTATTTTACAAAACAAATCTTGTTTTAATAATAATTGTTCAACTTTTCCCCGTTTTACAGTTTTATTCATATTTAATGGTTTTCACCGACCAGAAATTGTAATTAAGAGCATATGCGTTTCAACCGTTCACGTTTTGACATTTGCCTTTTTGCCATTTTGTACATGTACAGACAAAAATTAAGAGCACAAAGTGTGCACTGTCATTGCAAAATGTACATGTACAGACAAAATTAAGAGCACAAAGTGTGCACTGTCATTGAAAAATGTACATGTCAATGTATATTTTAGATGTACAAATTTCAATAGCAGTCGGAATATGTACAGGCTGATATCGGCCATCGTACCTTTCGATATTTTTGCAAAAAATTGCTTTCTAGGCTCCTCCGGAATTTAAACTGCCTCCTCGAATACAAATTTGAACAACAAGACCACTAATATTTAAGATATTTGCATATAAATCTGTCTTTGTGCTCATGTAGTTCTTTGCTCTTCTAAGACCTTTGCTGTTTTTACCTAGTACATCTTATTGTAAATTTTGTTTTGAGGGTTTTAAGCAATAGATTCAAGTTTCATTATCTGTTTGAATTTCAGATAAACGTGAATAACTACAATTACTGATATTTTAAAATAATGGTTAAGATATTCTTACACGCTGTCGTTTTCACGCATTTTTCAAAACATAGGGTGACTTTTGAGTACTAAGCTTTTTAACTGTCAAACGTTTCTTTAAAATTACTCACAAAATGATGTCTATCAAATTTTCTATGTATCTTAAAGTCAATCATACATTATCAGTGATTATTTGTTGAAAGTTGGCAAACAGTAAATTAGTTGTTATAATTCTTTGTGGGCAAGGACGGTGGCCATTTTTGATGCACATTATATTTTTATCATGATTGAAATCCACCTGCTCATGTGTCTATAAAACAGACAATGGTTGGTCTAAATTTTACATATTTCAGTGAATATTTCTTTGGGATTCTTAACAAGTATTACAGCAGCTATAATGTTGCATTTATTTTCTCTCTAGTTTACTGATACGTTACCATTTATTTTTCGCTAAAATATGGCTGAAATACTGCCAACTTAGCGTTAAACAATATACAATATACAATCAATCAATACCATTCATTTTTAATGCAGTGTCTTGAATAGTCCTTGTTTTCCATCTTCTCACAATAAAACTATGTAATGAAAAGTGGTCACATAAACTGTCATAAATTCATTAAAGATTCAATAATCTGAGAACGTCAAGCTTGATGTCATATGATATCTATATTGTATGTCATACAGTTCAGGGCATTATTTATTGAACAGCCCTCGTATAATGGTTTTCCGTAAGATTATACTAGTATATAAGAAATGAATTTTTGAAGATTCATAATGTTTTGAACTACGACGCTTCACGCCAGAATATTTTATGAAGCGCTAACACGCTTCATGGTAAAGATGCCAGCGTGAAGCGCTGTAGTTCATTCACCTTATGAATATTCAAAAATTAAATTCATTTCTTATATACACATTTTTTCCAATGAGTTGTCTCAAATTTACGTATTTCAAAAGTCAATTTTAGAGCAAAACAGTTTCCTCTGAATAGTTTAACGTCAAGGGCGGTATTATGATGTAACAATAAGTATTTTTATGCTCTTCCATGGTTGTTTATGAGAAAATTATTTGGAAATATAAATATAAAGCAATAACAACAATTCGTAAAAGTTTTGTCTCACTCAGTTACAAAGAGTTAAGGACTATCTTGTGAAAATAATGTGTCGCAATAATTCCGTGATCTACAGCACTTTTGCTCCTATCAATTACTGAGAACACAAAAGAACAAAATGTGACGAACTTTTCCCTGGGGGTAATTTTGATAGGCCTTGAGAACATGTATTGAAACATTCAAACCAATAAATTTTATACAAACATGCAAACATAAATAAGTACATTTTTTTTTAGTTTCGACTTGTTTTTAAGAGAACTTTCTGATTTTTGTAAAGACTGATTTTCTCTACTATTTCGTTAGGAGAGACTGGGTCTCTGGCAATATTTCAATATCATTATTTCATTGCTATATTTATATTTGAGCAGTGCAAGAAACTCATAAATCATATCATGCGCTCAAAGTAACAAAATTATATATTAATATCTCCCTAAATTTCGAATTTGGCTAATATTTTGCTTGAAATGTGATGATATAATGTCAACATTGTTAAAAGAAAATAGCCTTCTCGAAAAAAAGATCTTTAATTAGAATTGTTGTCTGTGCTGCTTTTAGAATAATTATTTCAGTCTTTTATTCATTTTCTTTTTGACCATTTTTTAACATATATACACATCGAATAAATCAGCCTTTAGAAGTGAAAAATTGTTATAATTAAAAATTTTCTTTCAATTGTAGTCATGCTTGTCTTGAAGCGGCGATCGATTTTGCCTGGAGTAGAACAGCGTGTTCGTTTACATTAAGAACTGCAAAATCAGAGCTTGAGTCCGGTAATTAATTTGATTTATACATGTAGTAACAGTTGAACAACTATTGACTAATTAAAAAGTTAACTTTTTCTTTAAATATGTTTTTCCTTGTAACATAACATTGCTGTTCAATACGATTTTAAATCAGCTTTAATGTTTTCTTTCGAAAGAAAGTTTTCAATTTTAAGGTATATACGAGGGATGTCTATCCAGTAAAATCGTGTACAAGTTGTCTTAGAGTTAGAAAAATAACCATGTCTGCGTTCTAAAATTTTCAGTACTCAATTATACATTTTTCTTCAATATACATAACAAATTTCAAATACAGTTATGCATAAATACACAAATTAGGATAATTCATGTGATTAAATTTTAATAATGTAAGAGTGCGTGAAGCAGCATCACGTTTCTTTTCTGAATAAGAATGGATAAGCCCCTCTTAAATTTAGTAATTTCATTGACGCACATTCCAGAGTTTCTTATTATTCTTGCATAAACAGTCCAGGAACAAATATTCCATATCCCGCACACATTGGACCTTCTAAAGATTTATTAGTAAGCTATAAACAGTAGCTTTGCTATCTTTCAACTAAACAGGAAATTACATAATCAACGGTCTACAGTGACAGCGTCTTTCACTAATACCATATTTGTTTGTCCATATGTTTTGATCTACCTGGAGACTCGATCAAAAAGATCTCTCTAAGAATTTCCCGTTTCACTTGTATGCTTAACTAGTGATATTTATATATATTTTTTCTTCTGTGTTCATTTAAATTTTCTAAGGTTTGTGTCATTTCTACATCTAAATCAAGTGAAAAGTGCGCCATACCGTCATTAAACGTCTCAATTTTTCATGTGTTGTGTTTACCACTTTCCCATTTCAAATGCTCAAGAAGTGCCAAAAAAATCAAGCAAATGTCTTGAAATTTTCCAAAAAACCCACAAATAACGTATAAAAATTGAATAGTTTTTACGCCGATCTTATCCATTCAACACTTTTATTGCGTTATACTCGTGTTTCATCCAATGAAACCCTGTTTTTATCGTGTGCCGTGGATCCATACCCTGTGCAACTTGAAGCATAATAAAGTATTTATTTTGACTCATTTTATCCAAATACATTAAGGTACATTTAAATATGGTAAATAAACATTTACTGAAAATTTCGTGATTTTTCGTGAAAACACTATGTATATGATTTAACCTAATAAACCTCTATATTTTGTGAAGACAACTGATGTTAATTTGCATCAATCAGAGTTGCCTCTCACTGTCTCTGTTTCTCTCTGTCTGTATGTCTCTCTCTGTCTTTCTCTTTGTGTCTCTCTCTCTCTGTCTCTATCTGTCTTTCTGCCTCTCTTTGTTTCTCTCTGTGTCTCTCTGTCTCTCTCTCTTTCTCTTTGTCTCTCTCTCTCTGTTATCTCTCTGTGTATCTCTCTCTCTCTGTCTCTCTTTGTCATTCTTTGTTTTTCTCTCTCCCCTCTCTCTTTATATATTTTTATGCCCCGCTATGAATATGGTCAGGCCATATATAGTTTGACATGTCCGTTCTCCGTCCTTCTGTCCTTCCGTTACGCTTTTTAAACTCAGTTCAAAGCTCAGTTTCAAAGAAACTGTTCAAGATATTTTTATCAAACTTCATATGCTGATAGATTTTGATAAGAACTATTAAACTGTACCAATATTTTTTTTACCTTGACCTTTCCATTGAACTTGACCTCATTTTTTCTAAAACTTGTGTTTAGCTTAATTTTGAAGAAGCCATTCAACTAACTGTAATTAAACTTCATATGCTGATACATACTGATGTTAGCTTTTACTTCATCAAACTTTTTGACCTTGACCTTTCCCTTCGACGTTGATCTCAATTTTCTTGAATTAGTGACTAGATCAGTTTTGAACAAACAATTCAAGATATATTTATCAAACTTTTTATGCTGAAACACATACTGCTGAGAGCTATCAGCTGCTTTTCTTTTACCTTGAAATTTTTGTTTTAACCTTAATCTTTTTTAAAACTTGGTGTTTATGTAAGTTTCAAATAAAGCATTCGTGATATTTTATCAAATTCATATGCTAAATACATATTGTTGTTAGCTTTTCACCTGCGTTAACATTTTTGACCTTTACCAGCCGTTTAACCTTGACCTCACTTTCCTTAAATTAGGATTTAGATCGGTTTGAATGAACAATTCAAGATATATTCATCAAACTTCATCTGCACATATATACTGCTGAGGGTTATCATTTTTTAAAAAACTTTTGTCATTGACTTTTCTTTTGACCTTGGCCTCACTTTATAAAACCTTAATGTTTATCTAAGTTTTAAATGACCATTCATGATATTTTGTCAAATTCATATGCTAAATGCACACTTATGTAAGCTTTCCAAATTCATCAACATTTTTACCCCAACTTGTCCTTTGACAGTGACCTCTCTTTTCTTAAATAAGTGTAATTCAATATATTTCAACCAAACCTAATAAGCTGATAGGTATTTGTAGTTAAAAAAAAAGAAAAGAAAAAAAAAGTAATTTTATGACGTAGAATTTTAATCAGAACTGCTTCTTGATATTTATCTCAAGGGGTCAAGTGAATGAGAAACTTTATAACCCTTCTTTAATTATCATTTAATAGAATATTCAAATATTTCTGCGAAGATTTCTTACACAAAATTTGCTTCAACTCGCATGTTTTCAAGTACAAAAAAATCACAGTCTAGGATTATCATAGCTGGCATTGCAAAACATTATAAATACGAGGGTTGATCGAAAATTTCGCGGAATTTCTACAATTTTTATTTATCTATTAGTGAAAGTGAGTATAAATTACAAATGGAATAATATACACTTGTTGAATTTTTTCAATTAAAAAATATTTCAAATATTACTGAAAATAACACTTTGGCAGTTGCCATAGAAACGGATTTTTGGAAATGCGGTTTATTACATGTATCATTTCAACTCTCAAGACTAAAAGTGAGGTAACTAGATGTGTTTGTGAAACACTGATGCCCTCGTATGGCAACATAGCAAAAATTAATTGGTACCAAGAGTAGGGTATTCTCACTGGAAACAATTGTGATATTTGAAAGTAGGCCAATGTAAAAGTTTTTTCAATAAGATCAAGATCAAAAGGTCAAGGTAATTGGTATCCAATGAAAGGTCTTGCCACATAGAACACTTATGTAGAGTAGGAAAGCCCTAACAGTTCAGAGGTTATGGCCAAGGTTAAATTTTTTTAGAAATAGGTCAAACTCCAAGGTCAAGGCCAAAAGGTCAAATTTGGTGGAACCCAAAGAAAGGTCTTGTCACACGAAATACACATGTTAAATATGAAAGTCATGGCTCCACTAGATCATATGTTATGGGCAAAGTTAAAATTTTTGCGGACAAACAGACAAACAGACAGACATACAGACAGAGAAACAAACAGACAGACGGACGGACACGACAAAAACTATATACCCCCGAAACTTCGTTTACGGGGGCATAAAAACGCGCTATATAAAACGAAAATAATGTCATTATTACGATAGCTCGACCTTTCATTAACCTCTGTGTGAAAGTTTTACTAACTATTAAGTGTATCAGTTGATGATTTGGTCATGGTCATCGTGGCATTTTTAGACAGCATCGAAATTCGGTCAAACTATAAGTTTTGTGAAAATCTCTGGAACACTCTGTTTTAAACGCATATACTTCTGATACAGGCTGGACATAAAAGCCATAAGCAAAGTTTACTAAATTTCCAGTGGCGCGAGAAATTTAGGGAAAATACATGTAGAACTTCCATGGAGGTTAATTTAAGGTGTGCCGCCTTTTGGAAGGTCGTTTTTCTCCTTGTAGACAAATTAAACGGTAATGAGCGTGGAGCGCTAACGCACTATGCTTGGCATTGCTACTAAAATCACAACATCATATGGAATGACAGAGGACATTTTTAAAATGATCGTAATAATCAGTATGAAGATTAGTTGGTGCGAGAGGAAACCAAGATTATTCTTGAGGAAAGAAATGGATGGAAAAGGCACTGATCCGTAGAATTTCTTTGTCGCTTTGGACATGAGGGTGAGATAGATGCTCTTAAAACGTGACATATCTAACTTGACGTTACGTCGAAACCTCCTCCGGCTTTAACAACTGTCCATGTTAGAAACCTCGTGAGACCTCATTGGTAAAATTTTTATGAGATTGGTGAAATTTTCCAGCATTGTTGCATATAATGGCTCTATTTTAAAAATATGCCTATTATTTGCTTTTACCCGAATCACGGAAAAATTTTAGAAAGAAATTTCGTGAACTTTTGGATCAACCTATAGTAACAACTCATTTCCTTTCAATCTTCATTTTGAGACTTTTTAAATTAAATAATAAAATAAATAGTTATCCTTCCTGCCTCAAGAGTGGATATTCGTAAGTAAGCTGTATTTTAATTGAAACCGGAAAGTATTTTATTTCTTTCATTTTAATTCCAAATTCATAAGATTTAATGTTATATATGTGCTGCTCAAAAACAGTAAAAAGTAATGCCATAATAATATAGAAGAGGGACTTTTCTTACACACTTTTGGTATAATTGTTCAATTTAGAACTGGTGGCCTGTATGGATTTAATCACTAAAATTGTTCTCATTTTCTATTTTTCAGACAGATTTACCTGTTTACAGAAATGTCAAGTAAAAATTGATAACTTGATAGAACCAAAGTGGTATGCGTATGAATATCGACTTAAATCCTTGGCTCTTATTTTTGATGGTTTAAGCAAAAATCTGCAGACGATCGACAATCGATGTATTAGTTCATATACCTATCCATACGAGAGAACATGGAAAATTATTTGCAATACTAGCTTACAGAACGGTAAGTTTTATATACCCTGTTGTGATAGAATTTTAAACATGTCAAAGACTATTTTTGTTTCCACCACATCTGTAGTGACATAAATTGAATTTATTCATAATGTAAGAAAACAATTGTTAGGAGATGAGCTAAGGATAGTGTAATATATCACTTGATATGCTGGTAGATGCTTGGTCGTCCAGTTGTAATTTTTGTGAATCTACGTACAATATACTCTTTGAAATGAGTTCAGTGTTTTTGTCAGCATATTAAATACCCTAGGTTTAGAAGAAAAAAACCCAGATCTGCTTAAAATGTAACATATCCCATGAGAAGTCCAACAGCTTATTGGAAAATTGGTTTCAAAAGACAACATAAATACTGTCAATGAAAACCTGAAGGATGTTGTAAATCGAATTCCTCTTTGTTTAAAAATAGATTTAAAATTGTCATTTTGCATTAGACCTAAAAAATCTCTCAAACTCCTCGTTTCCATTTTACCATACCAAAGCGTTGAAAATTATTTAGCGACTTTTAAAGTGCTTCTTAGATACTCAGAAAGGTTTTTACTAATAAAATCATTTCTAAATTCTGGGACCCGAAACGGTGTCCATTTATAATATCTTTATTTGTTTTTTGCAACCAATCCTTCTTTTGCTGAATCTTTTATAATCTTCAAATCTGACTTCATTTCAAACCGAACACTTTATTCTTAAACAGTGGTAATTAATTACAGTTAATGACAATATTAATCTAATTAAAATGTAAGAAACTAGTAAAATCTCACAGTGATATGATCCCAAAAGACTTTATTTGAGGAAAACAGTTTGAGAATTAAGGTTTAGCATAGTTCTCATTATATGTAAATGCAAGGAAAATAATCAAGCTTTTATTTATTTAAAAAAAGAGATATTTAATGCACGCAGTTGGCTTTAGCTTTGTGGAATAAAAAAACATCTCAGAATGTTGTCTTGCAAGATTTACCTCCACCAAATATTTCAATAGAAAAAGCGTAGGAAATCCAAGAACAGAAAAACAAGTACATAGTCCACATAGTTTGAGTGTTAACATTTACAAAGTTCTATAATATTCAATTATTATTAATTATGTTAAAGAATAATTCTTTTAAGAAAAATATCAGTATACAATATCTCCACACTTTAGTGATCAACGAAAACGTGGGTGAAGAGATCCTTCATGGGATATAGCCGATCGATATCATTACTACATGTACATATATCATCCTAAGGATGTCCTTGCATATAGGAAGCTTCAACATCTGTGTTTCCACATGATTTCAGTTTTGCGAGTTTCCGAAAAAAAAAAAAAACAACAACAACATAATCTGGTGGTCATGGTGCAAACATTCATAATTGTAATAAATTGCTGATCTAAAATAAAAATGAAAGGAACAAATTCAAAAAACACACTATATTAAAATAATATTTGAGAAATCTAACATGTCTAATCATCATTTCTGGCCGAGGGTTTTAGATCCACGTATCCCATGCTAGGATATAATGTATACATCTTATGCATTATAAGATACGGTAAATCTGGAAATTTTTACGTCGATTTTATTTTGCGAATTCTAGTCAAAATGGTGTTGATTAATTTTTACGTTTCAAAATTTTGCGAATTACCACTGATCTGTTTACATTTTCTTATTGGTAATTTATTTTTAAGAAAAATATTTTTGCGAATGCAATGAACTCGCAAATTTGCTAAAAATTTATCTACAGCAAAATTTTCCAGATTTACGGTATGTATAATGAAGGAATTAATGAAATCGTAGTCAATTTATCGCTTGTTTGGAGTTTAAATGTGAATTCAATAATGTAAGGGTTTATTTCTGTGAATAAGTTAGATTTTTAGTGACATGATATGAAAAAAAATCCTTGGTTTCTTTTGTTTCCCTTTTTATATATATGAAACGATTCCTTTTCTCAGAAGACATCGGAAAAAATTTGTGCACATCAGGTAAGAGTTGTGAAGATCTATCCAAGTCATGTTCGCAATCGTCCACAGAACAAATCGGCGTTTGTGTATGCAGAGATGGGTATCTTAGATATGGAAACAAATGTTTCAAGGGTAAATGATAAACAGCATGATTATTTTATATGTTTTTAAAAAATCTACATTTAATCACCAGTTTCAATCATAATTGAACAGTTTATAAGATAAAACATTTGAATATATAGATTTAAAAAAATATATTTTTATTGTGTTGACCAGGAAATTTGCAACTGAACGAAATGTGCCAGAGAAATGTGCAGTGTACAGGGACAGTTGGTTTGATATGTCACAACCAAAAATGTGTCTGTAGACAAGGATACTTTCAAATCAATGATTCCGTCTGTTTATCATGTAGGTTCACTTTAATATTTAAGAAATGAATCATTAATTTTTGGAAATATATAGTCTCATAACTACAAAAGAGTGTGCAAACAAAGTGAGTAACGCGCGTTACTCAATTTGTTTGCACACACCGTTGCAGTTATGAGACTATATATTTCAAAAAATAATAATTCATTGCTTATATGTACATTTTTTTACTTTCTACCTTAATTGCAAATGTGATTTTGATTTAAAAACCTATGTATTATTCTCCGTGTGAGCTACAATTAATGGATCAGCCAACGTAACTGCTTCTGGTCAATTTGAGCGTGATTTTTTGATTTTCGCTTGTGACATTGTACTTCCTCGGCGTTTAATGATTATGACGTCAAACTAAAAAGCATACTTGAACCTCTTGGCACCCTGTCTGTGTTATGGTGTTTTGAATGCAATAAAGAGCCAAAGCCACTTTGGGCATTACTTGGCCCTGAAAATTTCTGAAAAATCAAAACCGCTCGGTTTAGGTTGCAAATGCAGTATTTATCACTTGGAGTGTTGGTTACCATGTATCTATTATCCGTGACGTAATTTCCCACCAAGTCAATGCATTATGACGTCATAAAATGCGTCATTTTCCTAATATCCTGTAAATTCCTTTGAAAATCACCTAAAATTGAAGCGTTTTTTTTTCAATATTTCATGTAGAGCACAAGCTCTGATCCAAAATATGCAAATACATAATGAAAGCTCTGTTTCTGAGGATCATAAAACATGTTTTATTTTTTGGATCGTGGGCTGTGCTCATATTTTTAATTCTTTGCTGAAGGTAGTCAAATACGCATGTTTTCTGCAAATTTCAAGAACATTGCAATTTCTCAAACCTGTTTTCCAATATGTGGATTCTCAAAAACAAAATTTTATTATAGAAAATGAAAGTACAAAGTGTCTACTTTATTTTGATATATGAAGTGTGAAAGAGGGTGATAGTTTATTAATTGAAATAAATACAGGGCCATTTTATGTATAAGATGGCTCTAGCTCTTTCCCTTCACCTGTCATGCATATGTAATGTACATATTTTCTTTTATACGTACATGTATATGAATATTTTATTATTATTGTTCAATTGAATAAGTCGACTGATAAAGCAATAAAGAGTGGTTAGTTTGTATTACAAATACTTTACATGTTAAGATATTATCTTTGATGATTAGGGGAGAAAATATTCTCTTGTTTGAACAACAGTCCTAATATAGAAAAAAATTAAAACAAGTCGGCGAATAATAACAAAAATATTCACAAAATGAAGAATTTCTTTTTTACCTTCAAACTCCTATAAATCAGAAGTTTAACTAGTGTTGTATTTGATTGAATGCTTTAAATGTGTGGATATCCCCGTATCCCCTTTCTCTAAATGAGAGAGAGAGAGAGAGAGAGAGAGAGAGAGAGAGAGAGAGAGAGAGAGAGAGAGACGTCGATAACCAAAAGAAGAATTTCATTTAGTAAGATTGAAACATGAAATCTTTATAAATACTAAAAATAGGTACAACTGATAAGGCTAAAATCTGACATCCTGAAAACCAACAGAACTAATCAAATTAAATAACTAATGTGCGTTAGGATGAAGACCTACGACAAGGTCCGAAGAAGACTGAAGAATATCCTTATAGCATTATTGTGCTGTACTTTATTATTATTCAAAACCTTTATGTAAAAATGGATTTAAATTCTCTGCAGTTTTTTTTATAGTGATTAAGTCATAATGGAGACAAATATACTCAGTTACTATGCTTAAATAAACAAAGATAATATATACAATTATGGAACTAAAAATACTCAATCAATTGCTAAAAGTAGGCGAATTTGAAGATAAAATAGCCGACTTCAACACATTTATCATAAAGTTTAATTCTTTCTTAGTCATTAGAAGTTTAGCAAACCAGCGTTCACGCGCAAATACATGTGTAAGCAGTATAAAGAAGAAATAATAAAATAAATTTAGGTAAAAGGTTGGACTTATTGTTGGCTTTCAATATAATTAATATTTTAAAATTGATATTTTCAATTCAGTAACATGACCTTTAATAATTGTAATCATTTTTGAGTGATATTTAATTCAACAGTCTTATAAATAGAACATTCAATGTATCCTTCTTGTTTATGTGCAAATTATTTCTTTTGAAGCTGATATCTCAGATAGTTTGTGTACGTCAGATGAGGAGTGTAGAGATGAATCTAAATCATGTTTAGTGAGAGGACAAGTCGGCATTTGTGCTTGCAAATCTGGGTTCATAGGTTTCGGAAACGATTGTCTAAAGGGTACTAGTATATTCTTAACCACGCTTTTGGAATATAATATTGCAATAGTACGCGACTTATAAATCTTTGAAAATAAAATAAGTTAAAAAGATTTCAATTCTTTTTTTAAAAATCATTTTTTACAAGAAAGAAACATTTTTATTTTTATATATTTTTTTTAACTACAATGTAGTTTTTCTTTATCAGGAGATTTAAGTCTGCATGAATCGTGCCAGCGAAATGAGCAGTGTTCTATGGTACTTGGCTCTGTTTGTGAGAACAACATATGTACCTGTAGAGAAGGCTATGTCTCATCTAACAATGACTCCGAATGCTCTTTCCGTATGAACATTTGAATTTAATCGTCTAGTATTTGAACAAATTTTAAAGCCTTTTACATTACATATTAGATAAATGTAAGTTTAATTATTGTTGTTGTTTTTTTTTTGAATTAGAATAAAAGTCATATATTGTTGCATGTATTAATTATTAGCTTTTTCGAAAAATTTTTTGCGAATGGGATATATAATGAAAGGAAAAGGAAACGCAGGGTGGCATGATATTCCAAAAAAAAAAAAATTTTACCCTATGACCGAGAATTACGAAAATTGGTCAGATGAGAAATTTAATTACTAATCACCAAAATCAGTGTTCAGAATTACTCAACCGTAAAATGTATGACGTCACATAGGGAAAACGCTAAAAAGCCCAAAACACGTGTAATTTGATGACGACGAGTTTGTCAACAAATCTTGTTACACCATGTGATGCACCTGATGTATGCACATCGTTTTTCAATATTTATAGACGATATGATTTTCTTCCATTCTTTGTACAGTTTACGGAAGTTCCATGGGATCTTCTTTTCGAATTGCCTAATTAATGAAAAAGGCAACAACGGTTAACGAAGCAGTGTCTTGTAAATTTCCCCCATAAAACTTGTTACCCGTTGTCAGAGAGGGCCTGGAACTGTTTTCATTCAACCGTGACGATAACGTTAACGCGAAACAGAGTCATGTTACGAGCGGGTTATTCGTCCTGACATCTTTTAAATCGCCACCTTACTACAACAAAAACCGCCATTTATACAATAGACTATTATAATCATTACATTCACACGGAAAATAAAGGAACATTCCGCAATTTGGTTATTTGAGCCGGACAACTTTCTGTTGTGTTCCTCTCACTGGCGCATGCACGCGTAGTTTGACTAATTTTTTGGCATGGTTACTCATGCCCAATATAGCCAGGGTTTGAAAGATAAGCTCTCTAATGAATTCCATGCAAAGGAGAAATAAGGCTTTGACAAATGCGCAGAAGAGACATAGAAGATAATGAGAGTTTTCGATTTTCACTTTTGGGGGGTATCGTCATTTGAGCTTCAATAACTCGTGAATTATTAGACAAAATCAAATAGAATTTTGGTTGTGCCTTTTTGAAGATATTTTTAAAAGTTAGATAGGAATACCGAAAAAATTAAAAAAAAATAAATTTAATTCACCTCAAAAGTTTACCCTGCGTTTCTTTTTCCTTTCAGTATATAATGATTTTCACTAATTACTGCTGTAATCTTTTTATTTGATTTCAACAATATTAAATACAAATATATCATTGCTTACAACGCCCTCAGGTGGTAGATCTCAAGCAAGTGTCCAGGGCCAGAAAGGTAATAGAATTCTTCTTGTATTTACTCTCCATATAATGTTAAGTCTGATGTGCAGAAATGCCTTCAAGCAATACTTGTATAAAAAGGTGTGGGAAGCAGCTATAAGTAAACGATAGCTTAAATCATATGTGTATACAGTGTATATAAATATATTTGCAATATTATAACTAATTTTCTTTTAGAAGAAATACTTAATTTGGCATGTTTTAACAGAATTATAGGAATTTCTTACAATTAGTTTTTTTTCTTCACTGCAGAAGATAATGCTGTCAGTGTGACAGTTGGAGCTGTTTTTGGCGGCCTTATCTTAGGCATTGTTCTAACTGTTCTTGGGGTCATCATCTACAAAAATATACGAAATGGGAAACCCAAGGCTGGAAAAAAGTATCAAACTTTTTCAATGTTTTTGCTTATTTAAAATGTTAACATATTAATCTGTTTCTGTGTATTAGCATTTATTTTAATTGCTTAATTGATGGTCGAAATAAAATTACAAATTTTATTTTTTATCTTAGACAAGACCAAACGGTTGCATTTTTTAACAACACTTCTTATGAAACTGAAAGAGAAGCACATCAGAACCACTCTACTGTGCAACGTGCAAATGAGGTGAGAAATATATGTAAAATATTATATAAATGTAAATTGCAAAATAGTAACAATAGCATTTTTTTTTTGAAAACCTGTGAATTCATTATTGGTGCTTTTTTGGCCAAAAGAAAATCTTCATAAAAATGATAATTTGTTGTAAAATAAACATTTCATTTAAAGATATACTTAAATCAGCTTGAATGGGCCCAGTTTTTTTAGATAACCTGTTTAACGCAGCCTTGGGTTGCAAGATTCCTAACACATTTACTTAATTTTAAAAGTTTTATTTCTTATTCCTGATTATTTCTAATTTTGACACTTTTTTGAGTACTGTCAAATAGCCTTTAAACTGCTATATTTCCTAGATCAGACAAAGAACAAGTCTTTTTTACAGTGTAAATACTTAAAAAGTTTCCTCTTAGTAGTTTTGGTGTTGTACTGTAAGTAAGTAAGTAAATATTTTATTATAGTTACATGTGTATAGTCAACAAGTAAATACAATATAAACGTATATTCACCACACCCGGCCCATTGGACCTATATGTCACTTTAATATATGTACAGTATTACTATAGTCATTTAAAGATAGCGCGCATGATGGACATTATATTAATTTGATTGATATAAATATTTTTGTCTTAGTGAAAAACATAAATTTAAAAACTTGGCGGTTTGTCTCTGATGATTTTTCATTAAAATGTTTAAATTTTCAAATGGATCTACATTTCTATTTAAATTAACATTATGAAAAAAAGTTTCTCTAATATTTCCGTAGATTTTACAATGAAATAAAAAATGTTTTTCGTCCTCTACTGATTCGTCATTACATAGAACACAGTAACGTTCTTGTGGTGGTTCGTTTCTAAATCGGCCTGTTTCGATTCGTAACGGAAGGATACCAATTCCAAACTGAGCCATTGTGGAACGTTCTTGTTTTTTCATGTCCATCGTTATGTAGGGTTCCATTTCAAAATTATTTTTAAAGGTCACAAATGTTCTCAATTTGGATAACGACACTATTTTGAATTTCCATTCTTCTTCGCAAAGCGCAAACAATTCACATTTGACTTGATTTAAATTACATATTCGGAGGTAATCAATATTGGTTTGCATATTTAATTTGTATAGGATTTATTTCATTTGGGAACACCATATTCCACTATTTTGATAATTCCATAAGAAAACCTTTTTGGCGAGTCTGTCATCGTCCATTTCAATTAATTCCATCGATTCCATCTTCTAATCATGTTGATCCAGCGCCTGTATGTCGGGGTTATTCATCCAACCTCGCTGTTTAATGCGATTGCGGGTGCGTATCTATGTAGTCCTAAAAAATATCGAATAGCACGATTTTGTACAACTTCTAAACAATGATATGTTTTGAATCCCCAAACCCCGGAACAATAATCTAATATAGGGATCACACAAGACTGAAAAAGTTTTTCGTAGGTATGAAATCCAACATCTTTATAATCATGAATTTTTGAAATCATTGACCCCAATGCTCTTCCTCCTGCTTTACCAAGAGTTTCTGCCGCTATGTTAAAGTCCATCTTTCTCGTGAAAGATAATACCGAGATATCGATATTGATTAACATACTGTAATTCTTCTTCTTCTATTTTGAACTTGTATAGACTTTGAGGTACATGGCGTTTCCTAAAGTGCATGACATTAGATTTGGCACAATTCACATTTAATCTCCACCGTTTACACCAGTTGGACAGAGTATCAAGAAATTTATGCATATCTGATTCATTTTCCCTTAGAATGGCAATATCGTCGGCATACAATAAAAGGCCTATTTTTTGATCACCAAAGGGAATTCCTGTATTTAGTTGTGAAATTTCTGTTGCTAAATCGTTAATGAAAAGGGAGAATAAGGTGGGTGACAAGTTGTCTCCTTGACGTACACCGTTTGGACATTCAAACCAGTTTGTGCGAAAGTCATTTACACATACACAAGAGAATGTCTCAGAATATAAACTGGAAATAGCATTATAAATTGGACCATTGACTGTTTCTTTTTTCACATGTAAGAATTAATTCCAGAAACCTTAAAAAAACAATAAATGAATTTAAAAAGTAAATAAAAAAGAAAATAAATGAAAATATATGCAAAATTTTTAAAACGAGGAATTATTGACAATGACAAACAAGTCGATGAACCAAGAATATCAACAGTCTCGTTTTATATGTCATCATTTCGTAAGTTCGAAGGTCGATACAATAACCTTAAGCTTGTTTGCAAATACAATTTACCATTGAGTAAAATGTTGAATGACTTTTTCATACTAATTTTTAGGCTATTATTTACACACTGAAAGAGCCATAGCGCATTTGATAGCCACTTTCGCCTACTTTAGTAGTGATTTTCTAAATACTTTTTTTAACGAAAATTTTGTCATACAATGTAAGTTTATACATGCCTTAAAGCAACTCACACAAAAATAATTCTCAATTATTAATAATTCCCTCATATGAAAGTTATAAAAATCGATCAGTTTATATGGAGAAAATAGTAAATACTGAGGTACCCCCCTAAACAATGACAAACTGTAGGAAAATACCATCCTTAACCAGAAAAACAACTTCTGAATAATTTTATTTGGAAATGACTGCACTTCATTACGTTTAGATAATTTTGGTTAAAGGTGGTCTTCATATTGAAAATGTTGAAAACATGTATTTAATTTTTCTCGTAAAATTATTTCAAAATTTAACAATCTGTCTTAATTTTATCCATTTGATTATCAAGACTTCGTGGCGTAGTGGTATGATTGCTGGATTGAAGATATAATAATCGTGAGTTCGAGTCTCACAGTGCGTGTTACTTAATTACGATTTTATTTTTTTTTCTCTGTGTGCATTTTCCTATGTTTTCTTTTATTATCTTATAATACATGCAGAAATAATTTTTAAAAGAGATATATAATACAACATTACACATTGAAAGTATCTTGGGTCTTAAACTATTTTAACGATCCAAAGTCATAGCTGCTAGCCTGTTTTATATTGGACAAATAAAATTACTGTCATGCAACAAACTTGCAACTATGAAAATTTAACGCTGGTTCACAAATGATTACATACATGTAGTTTGATTTTGAATTGAAAAGGTACATGTATCTTTGAAAAGAAACAGGTGATTTCCTTTTAAATACTTGAGTAGGCCGAGTCGTCGGTAAGACATCTATGGCTCTTTCCTTAATATCCCGATCATGACAAGTAGAACACGGCGGGTGTGACCGGTTCCAGGGGATACTCACTCCTCCAAGGCACCTGATCCCACTTCTATTGTTTTGGAAGACCGTGTTTGCTCCGCTCCTAATTTGTATTGTTTTATTGACTTTTGAGCTTGAATACTGTCCGTCATCTCTATATATTTCATATAGCAAATATGCTTCAATAAACATCAATTTTCTTTTCCAGAGAAAAATTGTAAATGTGCCACCGTTTGCTCATTCTATGGATTTACCAGTAACGGAAAACACGTACACCAACAAAAGTTCGATGGCGAATAGTCATGACGTAAATAATGACGTATATAATCATCTGCATTAAAAAGAAGATTCCGACATTGATGAAACTTACGACCACGCCCATGAAAACATAAATCTCACAATGGAGGAGAGTGACTACAGTAATCTAAATACAGGGAGACGATATATGGCACCAGATGTTTATGCTTCTGAAGATAATGATAATGATGAGCGCGAACCACCTGTTGATTACTGTTCATAGAAAAAGCAGTAAAGAAGTTGTAAATTATCGTGCAAAGACATTCTTATGATTAGACTGAGTCAAGCATTTTATGAGACTGTTTGTTGTCTTTCATTGACTTACTTTAGAGACCTTTTAAATGCATAAAGCATATATTTTGAGATCAAGTGTAGGGAGTAAAAATATTTTCGGTCGAAAATCATTAGGCATGTTAGGGGAAACATTCCCCTTTTTTCGTAGTTTTGGGTAATCTTTGAGTCACAGAGTACATGGAGAATTCATTCGACGAGTTCATTCATTTTATGGTATGATTTTCATTTCTTCAAATTTGATAAAGCTAAACCAATTTGTTTGCTGTAAATATGCCATTTATTTTTTCATAATTAAGTGATGCCTTTCCAGTCTCTTTTCAAATCACCTTTTAGACTTTTTGACGCAAGTCTATGAAGCCAAGAAAATCACAAAGGCACTTGTACGCTCAGTACTTTTCTCATTAACGTAATATCATGATAACATGGCGTATTATTTTTGACGAAGTTGTATTGCTAATATTTGCTATTAACACACAATTAGGTCATCACATAAGGTTAAGTTGCATCTGTTTGCTCAAGTCAGTACTAATTTGTATATATGTTTTACTTTCATAAATAAGGATAATATTACTAAAATTCTTCACAAAAGCTATATCGCCTTGACTTTATGGGTATCTCGTGTTATATTGTTCTTCAGATAGGCTTGACTATAAAATGATTGATCTGACCTAAGGATCATAAAACAGGTTGAAACTTAAGTCAAATGTTAAATTGTTGTCTAAAAATGTTAAAGAGTTATTATATTTAAATTGGAGAAAACATCATTTACAGTACTAGCTTTTGATGCAATATGACATTTTGAACTTGTGTATATCTTATTATCTTCAACATTTTGTACAACAGAAGGATTAAATTTTGTTCTTAGACAAAATCGAGAGGGGGCTTTGAAATTCCTTACAAATGTATTTAATGGGATTCAGATCCGAGGATTTGACAGTGCATCATCACAGATACCTTTTGGTCAATATCTTTCGGAGTTTTGCACGCACGTGTACCTCTTTAAGGAAGATTCAAACTGTTTGAGATGATATAAGACTGCCACGAGCATCAATTTCTTATCACTTTCACACCATCAAAGTTTGATTCCGGTTTAATGAAATTTTGTCCAAAACTTTCACATTGTGACAAGTTGGCGATGAAAATGACTCACGATCTATAGAACAAATGTGTTTAAATGGGGTTTAAAACTGTTATTAATTTTTAAAAGTAATATCATGGACAAATAAACATTAAAATAAAAGTGAGTAAAACGTGGCTCAAGGATGATCCAGATATTAACATTCCAACGGTTCTCCATCCTTTCTCAATGGTCATTTCGCCAATGCTTTGTGTGTGTGTGTTTTTTTTTTTTTAGTTTTTCCTGCTTTCAAAAATTGAAAATGACAAATCACAAAAAGATGCTGATTACACAAAACACTTGCCACAAAAAATAAATTTATCGTTTTTAAGGTTCGTCGCGAAATATTGGTTTTTATCGCTGATAATTGATTTTTTATATACAATTGTTGAGAAGACTTATTGGTTAAAATAATTTAAAAATACAATACCATTCTATCATGTTGTTTCTAAAAAAAATACATTAATTAATCTGAACACTTAGAAGTTTTGTTAAGTGTATGTACTTAAATCATTTCTGATATCTGGAATCTTTCTTGTCGTTTTAAAATGCTTATTTGACATGAAGCACATTAATTGTATAGACATAACTTGATATGCCCATAAAAGCTTTCAATGACCTTAAAGGGATGTTTTTTCCGTTTTAATTCTTTTTATCCCTATCAACTACAAATTACAGCATTTCTTCTTTTTATTTCATTCAACTAATGATCGTTTAAAAAAGTCAACGGTCATTCTAGTCACCCATTAGAAAGTGTACTAGTACACTTTATTCTTATCTAACAATGTGTCATCTAAGTGCAGATTATAAAACATTAATAGCGAGTAAAAGTGCATGACCCATAAAAAAAAAAGATTTTTGTCTTCCATTTCATTCATTCTTGTTTGTATGTTTATATGTAAAATACATAGATAAGTAACCATAACCAAAGTTTCAAGGGTACACAGTAGTTTTCTACCTTTGTTTGCTCAGATTTCATTATTTTATAAAACAAAAATAAAAGTTAAGTGTCGTTGAAAGATTGATTAATTGTCAACATTCCATTCGAGATATTATTCCAAGCTATTTCAATCTGATTTAGCTACTGTTATAGAAGGAAGTGTATAAATGCCTTACCTTAGTCTAACTTTTCATTCTTAGGAATTAGCGTTCCTGTCAAATATTTTAGTTCAATATTGTCCCTTTTAACATTAACATCTGAGGATGCTTTGATTGCACCTTACTTTTTTCAATCTTCGAGAATCAACCTGGGTCGTTTAAAAATTCCCCTCTTGTTATTTTACAACACTCACCCACAACATCCATTTAGAATAGTTACTGCCTTTCCTTTTTTTCTTTTATATTTTCAGACGACTTGTAGCAGATACCAATGCTTTTTTTATCGGGATAAACGATAGAATATGGTACAAATACTTTACAAGTGATCGTTAACTTTCTACCCAAACAGTTCCTGTTGTACATATAATGCCTAAATATAAAAGGATAAAGGTAGTTGTGGCAGCGATTCTCAACAAGACCACATACATAACACGACTGAAGGTTGTGAACACCGAGACACTGATTCGGTATTTGTGAGACAACTAAAACGTCAGGCAAATTTCGTATTGTATTGTATTTTATTGTATTATATTATTATATGAAGAAAACAACGATCTGAGCAATAGTGTCGCAAGCGCTTACTGCAGTATTTTTAGCCTGAAAATACAAACCACATAATAATGGCTACAGTCAGCAAAAGTAATTCAGAAACAAATGTTTTGGCCAAACGAACTGACTTTTCAATGTCAGAAAAACTAGATAAGTTTCTAAGTGTGGTACATCATGAAACAAATGTTGAATCAAAGCTTGACAAACACAAATCTGATTTAATACTCGTACATAATATCAACAGCAATTGGATAATAATTTCGAACTTAAAAAAAGAAATAATAACACATTTTCACTCTACATTCAATACCCACCCCCTTAATCCTAGACTGCATCCTGTGGTCATGTTTATAATTTTGATGAGAAATCCTCGATGAATATAACTTTGCACTTAGTTATTCTTTTAACAGATGTATATACAGGAAAAAAAGATGAAAGAAATTAATGCAATTTTACTATACTATCAATACATTTATGCCTTTAAACCATAACATCTAACCCAGGGACCAAAAATTACCATTTTTGGCAGAGGCATTACCGCTATTCCGAAGAAATACTTGGTTTATCTCCTAAATACCTAGGAGCAAAGAAAACAGTTAAATAAAAAAAAAATCACTTAATAAACAACCCACACTAAGAACTCTTAACCTGAGGCCATACAATTCACAATTTTGAAAAGGGCACCCTTGTTCCCTATAACAATTCACAAAGTGAAATGCTTCATGAAAGAATCCCGCACGTCAAATGCAGTATATGATCATCGGAGCCACACCAGAACTCCAGAGAACTCTCTCAAAATGTATGAATTTTTCAATTTGGATAGAGAATCAATGCTTATTATGATCATGCCAATAATTTGACTGCTTGATGTTCAAAAAATGTGAAGAAGATCTTTAAACATTAATTCATTTTGATGGTTTTGCTCCAGTCCTAAAGACAATGAGCATAGATATTGTATGCAAAAATTGATTTAAATTGGTTCCGTGGAGAAGAAACTGAAAATGCTTTATTCGATAATGGATAGCTATTGGTCAATTAAATAACTCAAGTGACCTAAAACACAAAAAGGAATACAAGTGTTTTGAAATCCTTAAGATACTAATTAAAAATATTTCTTCTCTTAGCCTCGATAAGGATTGATATATGGTAAGGCACTTGAAAACACTCATGAGCATGCAACAAGGATCAAATTTTAAGTTTTCTGAGGCAGTCTTTCTAGCATACAAGTTTTCGGAGTTCGACAGAACTATAATATAAATAAGGAAGCTTTATTTTCCTGTTTCACGCATTTTCTTAAACAAATGGAAATTTTTAAATATTTAGAATGTAAGTAGATTAATTTGTTTCTTTTTATAGATAGTAATATTGCACTGAATCAATTTTATCAAAATTAGTACTGAAATGATAATTGCATGATAATAGGCGGACTGATATTCAAGTCTGGTACATCAACTTCGAAGCCATGTAAAATATGTGAGCTATGACTCTTCTATCAATTTTTAAAGATTCGAGTTTTCTAGGGGTGCCCCGGGTTTCTTCTGTTTTGTTATTGAATAATTAAAAAAAAATATTCAAACAAACCCGAAAATCTTAACAAAGTCAGAGTCCGAAAATTCCTTTCTATTTCAGGGCATGATTTTCATAGCACAATATTTTTTTTTTAAATTTTAAGAAATACACATTTAACGCTGAACACGATTCGTAAAAGGAATATGCTTGCCATTTTTGATCATATTCTCGTCATATTTGATAACCTCCATATAAAGCGACTGACTGGTTCAGGTTGAAATGCTGTAATGAAACAATAAATTAGTTTCATAATTCATAATACACCATATATGTCTTAACAAATAATCGTTAACTAGTGTAAAGAGATGTTCTTTTTTGTTCTTACACATGCATTTTAAACAAGAACAAATTATTCTTAGCAAAGTTTTTCATGGTACACCACGAACACTTGTTTTTGGTACACATTCTTTTTATTTAAAATAATTGTTAATAAGATAAACTATATCTCAGTAATAGTGTATTGAGTCGGGCCAAGCTAACAATTCTTAAAAGATGGCCTCATTTAAAGAAGCTTTGTATTATTCTCAAGTTGATGTGTGTTGTATTTTATTATTAAGTAAACTTTGTAATTGAATTAATAAAACACCCTTTTCCATATCACATTCGTATAAGCTCTCGACCTTGTGCCGTCTGGCTGATACTGGTGTCGAGATGTTGTAGTGTTGTTTTATATTTAAGTGGCAGCAAAGACCTTTGAGCGTATTCTTTGGCGGATAGCAGACGAAAGAGAAAAGTTAGTCTAAAAAATAGCTAAAATTGAAAACCAATCCGTAATGTAATATATGTTCCTTTAACAGTACTGAGATTAAACTTATACTCGGTCAGTTCTTTCAATGTGGAACACCAACGTATGCAAATTAGATTTAGCTCATCATATATTTCCGGGATTAAAGTAACTAATTAATGTAAGCATTTATAATAAGTTTTTATTTTACATCAATGTAAAATTTAATATAATTATTTGAAGAATTTTTAAAAATTATTTAATGTAAATTAAAAATAAGAAGACATTTAATAATAATTAAATAAAAAAATTAATTGTACAAATTACACTGTATTTCAAAATATTTTTATATGAGTTACTATTTTTTAAGGATATAGTTAAAACAGATTATAACTTACCTGTAATTTATTTCTTTTGTTCTCCACCTGTACCCTATTTCCACTTAACCAACACATATTTACCTGTGTTTTACCTGTATTTTTTCTCAAAATCTTGCCTAATTTGGAAGACACACTTCATACCCTCAACCTGTTCAAAATCTCTCTCCGCGGTCGGACATTGATCCTTGCATTTTGATCCTATGGTTAAACATTGGAAATTTTAGATTTTTTAAAGTATAGATGTATATATGAAAAAAGTATGAAAGTATAACGTAATTTTGTATTTTGCAATGATATTGTATTCTATACAATTTTCAGGGTTTCTTCCTTCTCTCCTTTTGTATTTTGGCTGTTCTTCCTATGATATCAACAGGTATGTTTACAAAATTAGAATCTGGAGTGTTAAGATACTGCATGTGTTAGGAACGATCAAAAATTATGAATATTATTTGTTGTATATTAAGGTATATCATTAGGGGTGGAGAAAACAGAATAACATAAAAAGTTTTCGATCCATTCCCAAATTTATATCTTAAAGTATTGTAAATATATCCATAAACAAACTGTAGTTAATACATAATTTATTGAAAGTCTGTCATATTAATCAACAAACAATATGGCATCAGCACTGCACAACATGCATTCGTATCCTTATTCAGGATGAATATCTTTCCCCT